TCCACATCCTCGCCAACACTTGTCATCTTCCTTTTTTATTTTTACTTTTTGGTTACAGCCATCCTAGTAAGTGTAAAATAGCATCTCGTTGTTTTGATTTGCATTTCCTTAATGACCGATGCTGTTGAATATCTTTTCCTGTGCTTGTTGGCCACTTGCATACACTCTGTAGAAATGGCTATTCAGGTCTATTGCCCTTTTTTAAAAAATCCTTACCTGAGGATATGTTCATTGATGTTTAGAGAGAGAGAGAGAGAGAGAAACATTGATTGGTTGCATCCTGTGCGCACCCTGAGCGGGAGTCAGGTCTACAGCCTTTTCTCGCACACCGGGACGGTGCTCCAGCCAACCCGACAGCCCGGCCAGGGCCACTGTGCATTTGTTAACGGGGTGGTTTCTCTCTTGCTGTTGAATAGTAAGAGTTCTTTATATAATCATTCTAGATTTTAGCGAAGAATAATCTATAAAATATGCAAACATGATAAAATTTTAATAAAAACAAAGTTGGTATAATCATATGCAGGTTTTTAATAATCAAATTTTATTGAGATATTAGGATAGTCACATTCTGAGAATTAGTACTGAGTTCTTTTAGTTTTTATGACCACAAATACTTTATGGCACTAGCTACCCACTTGTGCTCATTCTGGAGCAGGCGAAGAAGACACATACCCATTGAACCAGGCCAGTCTGTTTGCTGGAGGACCAGGAGATTCTGGGACTAAAGCCAGCAGGGGGTGTTGACATGGTATCAGTTCACTGGATTCGGCTCAGTTCTCGAATGTGATTCCAGAGTCAGTCAGTGTGAAAATGAAGACCGCCTACTGACAGCAGATAACTTAGACTGCAGGGAAACCCCGTGGCCCGTGGCCCCTGGTTCAGCGACCCAGTGGTGCCCATGGCGTGCGGCCGTCTTCTCCTCGGTCAGGCCCCGCCCCCGTCCAGCATTTCTCTGCCCGCTCCTCCCTCCATTGCTTGCAGCCTCCCCAGTAAACGTGAGTCTGTAAACTCTTCAGGTGACCAGGGTCACTTCCGTGAGCGTCCAGCAAGCCCCTGCCCGAAGCTGAGGTTCCTCTTGCGGTCCACAAAGGTCTTCACACAGAAAGAAAGAGTCATAAAAAGGAGTTCTTTAAATATCGTGGGTATTAACTCCTTTTCAGATCCGTGATTTGCAGATACTCCATTCTGTAAATTGTCTTTTCACACCCTTGATATTGCCCTTTGATGCACAAAGGTTTTAATTTTTATAAAGTCCCATTTGTCTACTTTTTTGTTGCTTTTACTTTTGGTTTCAAATCCATGGCCAAATCCAAGGTTATAAAGATTTACTCTTCTCTTAGAAGTTTATAATTTTAGCTCTTACACTTAGGTTCATTTTCGTATATGGGGTGAGGTGCTGATCCTGCTCATTCTTCTGCGTGCGGCTGCCCCGTTGTCCCAGCACCGTTTGTCGCAGAAACTTCTTTCCCATTGACTGGTCTTGGCACCCCGTCGAAAATCAGTCGGCCGTAGAGGTTTGGGTTGATTTCTGGACTCTCATTTCCGTTCCATCGTCAGCGGTGCTTTATAGTTTTCCATGTCCAAGTTTTTGCCTCCTTGGTTCAATTTGTCCCTGGGACCCTAGTGTATATGGAATTGTCTTATTAATTTCAGTTTGATTTCAGTACATGGAAACACTGTACGTATGGATGCTGATCTTGTGCCCTGAAATTTGGCTGAATTTGTTTATTAACCCTATTGAGTTTGTATTGTAGATTCTTTGGGATTTTGTACATACGGAATGTCTGCAAATACGGATCATTTTACTTTCTCTACTTTGGATACCTTTTCTTTCTTTTTCCTGCCTAGCTGCTCTCGCCAGTACGCCCAGCACACTGTGGAACAGCAGTATGACGGTGGGCATCCGTGTCTTGTTCCCTGATCTCGGCTCCCTGTCTTTGACCACGGAGAGGGGATGTCAGTTGTGGGGGGTTTAATAAATGCCCTTTATCGTGTTACAGAGGTTCCCTTCTAGTCCTCGTTTACTGAGTTTATTTCACGAAATGGTGAGGCCCGGCCCCCCTTTTAATGGAAGTTAGACTTTAAATAATAAAGTGCCGACCTTCGGTTGCTCCCTTTCTCCGCGTGAAACTTGATGTGGCCGTCTTCGCTCAGGTGGTGGACATCATGAGAGTCAACGTGGACAAGGTGTTGGAGAGAGACCAGAAGCTCTCGGAGCTGGACGACCGCGCAGACGCGCTGCAGGCGGGAGCTTCCCAGTTCGAGACGAGCGCCGCCAAGTTGAAGAGAAAATACTGGTGGAAGAACTGCAAGGTAACTCTCCCAGCCCACAGCCCGTCTTCACAGTGAGTCACCCTCCGCACCCCCGAGGGTGACAGAGCCCTCCAGGGTCGGACTTGCGTCATCCCTGCAGGCGAGTTGGCCTTCCCGCACGTAGAAATTCGGACTGACGCTGGACGCAGACCGCTGACCGTTCGCCCTTGCGCTCGCCCCACAACCAGGGGGTGGGGATCTCCGCGTGCTGTGGCTGACCTGACGAAGCACGCAGGAGGGTCCAAAGTCAACCTCAGACAAACGCCCCTTCCAGCCGTCCACCCCAGGGGAACCCTGAACCCAGACCGACGGGAGAGGGAGGAATTGGCGGTCGGTCTGCGTGTGGTCGCGTCCGCGGCTCCAGCACCCGAGGGAGGAGCTGCTCCAGAGCCCCAGTTCTCTCCAGAGGGGCAGGACGCGGCCACACGGGAGCCGGACCAAAGCAGACATCACACGGCTAGCAGAGAAACGCGCTGCCCTCGGTTCCCGGTGTGTCCTGCCCGTCCTGGTTTAGCGGTGACACCTCCCGACACGGCACGGGTGTGTCTGGTAGCCCCCCCCCCCCCAGTGTGGGGGCCTTGTGAACACAGACATGCCTGCTTGGGGCCCGCAGACCATCTGGGCGGCTTGTGAAAAGCACGCAGGGCACCTTCAGGTCCTAGTCGAGAACATTGTAGCTAGGCGTTAAAAACTGTGGATTATTTCCGACTGGAGCGCCCTGAAGTTCTCCTTCATTGACTGGAATGATGCTGTCTGCTACTCTTGAGGGAGCACGTTAATCTCTTTCTGAAACGTGACGTGCACGTGTGTGTTTCATTACAGATGTGGGCCATCGGCATTAGCATCGTGGTCATCATCATCATCATCATCATCGGTGAGTGCTCCTGCTCGAAACCCGTTGACACTTACATGGGTTTACAAAGGTTTTCTTTTTCTTTAGTCGATATTTTAAATAATGATTGTCGTACGATTAAAGCCTGAGGTTTTTGATGTAAACATTAATGCTTTGAAATTGGAGAAAACTCACTCACTTCACGGACCTGCCAGTTTTCTCTCTGATTATCTGCCCTCTGGGAGAGTCCGTGTAGTCTAGTGACTGAACGCACGGCCACCTGGGCCCCGCCCTGGCCCCACTGCCGTCCGGCCGTGTGGCTTTGGGAAGCACATTCGTGTCTCTGCACTCGAGTTTCCTCATTTGTACAATGGGGTAATGAGAGGACCTACTTCGTATGTTTGGAATGAGGACAAAGCTGATGAATATATGAAAAGTGCTTAGGATGGTGCTTGGCACGCGGTGATGATAATAGTTACATAACTAACTACACCCCCGTCATCGGTCAGTGCCAGTGGGGCCGCACACAGCACCGGACAGCCCGCCGCCGTCTCAGCCCAGGCAGCGTCGCTTCGACCCGTCTCTGGGTCGTCCCCTCCAGCTCCCCAGAATTAAGACAAGCCCCCAGGAGGAGACAGGCCAGATGGCATGTCTGTCCCCATCTAAACTAGCGTTCAGTGTTCGTTCTGGATTTGCTCTGAAGACTAAACTGCTGTTTGCCTTGATTTTTTTGCATTTCCCTGCTTACTAGTGTTGAGTGTTTCTCCGTGAAGAACCAGTGAAGCTCCAGTCTTCTGTTCCAGAAACCTCTTCGGGATTTTTGACTTAGAACCTGCTTTATCATCAGGCTTACGTACTGTAATATCTAAAATGTTTATTTTCTGTTAATGTAAAGTTTGATTTTTAGAAAACGTGCCTTTAAAAAAAATAACCCCCACCTAGACGTGCACTGAGTCGAGCCCACGTTTTGCACAGTGCCTTTACAAATTTGCATGTGGGCCGACAACAAGGACTCCGGAAACCCCGGAGTGTTAGAACCTAGAAGTAACATTGTCTGATCAATTGCCATTAATTCCGGCCAGGGGGATTTTCGCTAGGCGAGCTGTCCTCGTCATGTGACCTTATCTTCAGAACCACGTTTGAACCCTTTGGGTAGTCAGCTCTTCAGTCTGTGCCTGCCAGAAAAAACACTACTGTCTGACTCGAGTCTGTGACTGTGACAGGCTGTGCCTTACTCCGCTCCCGTCCCGCTTCCCCATGAGCGCCCCCTGCTGTTTATGAGCACTACTGACTCTTTTGCTGTATTTAAAATAAGATGGTGGTAAAGAATTTTTGCTCTTACATTAGATACAAAGATGTTTACTTCCTTGTTATTGTTTTGTATCATTTGCTAAAAATATTTTAATCAGAAATAACCTCTTTAAACATTTTTATAGAACTATGGCTATGACCAAAGTTTCCATTTTGCCAAAAAGTTAAATCCCAGTAAAATGCCCTTAAGTCTGTTCCTGACCTGACAGCTAAATCTGAAAAGTGACAGATGGAACTCAAGGTGCCCTTGAGAATTAACATTGCAACATTATTTGTGGAGCTTCTGCATCCTGACGGGCCTCTCTTGCCTGTGAAACACCGTATGCGGTGCAGCTCCCCTTCCTGGTCAGCATTTTCCCGGGTTTAGAGAAGGCTCGGGCTAGACTCTGCCCAGCTCGTGCCTCGAGACAGATTGCGGGACAAACACCAGCTGTGGGCGCCAGCATGTTCCTAAGAATTACGTGAGCAACAACTTTGTAGCCTTCGAGCAAGGCAGCTGCGAACTGGTCATTACTTGGCCCAGTCCTCATGCATGGACTATAGCTTTTTGGAGTTTGTTTCTATTTTTATTCGTATTCCACTTCCTAAATCTGTCTTCTAAATTATGCTTTCAATTAGCATTGGTCGGGCCGGCTGACTTTCCACAGAAACAGCTGACCGGAGACCTTCTCCGACGCACTGGGCTGTTGCACAAGATGCTGCTTTGCAAATAGCTGTTTCCATCTGAGAGACTTTTGTGGAGACTTCCGACATCAGGCTGTGCGGCCTAAGGGCAGGAATTAGTTAGAACGACACGGGCAAGGAGGCACTGGGGGGGGGGGGGCGACGCAGAGGTTCACCACTCCGTGGCCCATTGTACTGGAACGGTCTAAAGTTGTTTTTCACGTGCTAGTGTGTGACTTACGAAGCAACAGTGGTTGAGGCACACCAGGACACGGGTTCCGGTTCTTTGGTATCTGTTCCCCTGTCAGCACTGAAACGACGTAATGGTGAAAACACGCCCCCCTGGGAGAGGAAATCAGCTGTCAGTGTCGGGGCGGCAGCCCCACCTCGGCTTGGGGTCTCCGGCGGGGTGTGACGCTGAAACTCTGGTGCTCTCTCCTTGGCCTTGATGCTCAGTCCCAGGTAACCCACCAGCTCCCGCATTAACCCAGGAATACCTCGCTTGTATCTGTGCATCTAGCTGGGAACTTGCCCACTGTAATGAACTGAATAAAGCGTTTATAAACATCACCCTGGTACCTGTGTTGCCTGTAGAAGAGTAGCTGTGCCTGGTCCCAGTCCTAAAAAATGGCATTTTTGCTGTTCCCCCACCTCTCCTTAGAAACCCTAAACTCCATTCTGATCCTGTCTCACCAAACCCCTCCCCGAGTACTCTAACTCCCTGTCACCCAGCCTGTCCCCAGAAATAGTCAACAGAAGCAAAGCAGACCACCGCTGTGAGAAGTGCTTCCAGTGTGGATGAGTGGGGAACTGGCTTTCTTAGGAACACCGAAGTCTTCGGCATTTGGCTTTTGAATTTCTTAAATACACGGTCTTTCAAAAGCAACGCACAGAGCTGGCCTCGTACGTGGTCCAACGGCTGCCTGCGTGGGACGTGGGGACTTTAACCGGTGGGTGAGGCGCATCTCCAGACACATGGCTCCCGTGATTCCATGTGTCTTCCCATCAAAAACACTGCTCTCATCCCGCAGCCCTGGGAAACGGTACAGTGTGGGTGGAAGTGGACTTCTGCTTCTGTTCACGATACAATGTCAGTTCCTATAAAACCCTGTTGGGAGAGAAGAGGTAGACTTTCCCCGTTGCCCTGGACAAGCGGCCACTGCCTGCCTCGTCTGACACACTGCGGTGTTCTGGGGAACAGCTGCCTTTGGTTCGGGGCCTTTCTCCGGTGACGTCGGTGTGAGCTTTCGGTGTCATTTTCAGGATTTGGAAGGGAAACTGACCACATACGAGCTTTACCACTCCCCCCCTCCCTTAGATGCCAGGGGTCCTTGGGGTGGGTCCTCAGCCAGCTTGTCCTTCCCTTCTTACTCTCCAGTCGTTCCCACGTACCTCCATTCCTAGTGTCCTGGCTTGCCAGACATCGGCCTCCCGAGCCCACCACGCCCCAGACAGAGCTGAGCATCCCCCTGCCTCTGCTCCTCTTCCCGGCGGTGATGGCGTGCGCCCCCGAGAACGGCCGGGAGACCAGCGGCCCTCCAGACCCCGCGGGAGGGGAGTGCCGTGCCCATCTCAACACCACTTGAAAACGAAACTCCTGGTCCGCCATCAAATCAGACCACACCAGACCTGCCCATCTCTGTGTGTTCCATCACCTGCAGCTCGGCCTCAGCCAGGCCAGGGCGTCGCCCGTGACTGTCCTCCCACAGGGCACATTCGACCCACTGGCAGGTCCGAGCCCCAGAAGTGTCTCCTTGTAATCAGCAGCCTCCTAACTTTTAACTTTCCCTTGCAGCAGTCTGGCCTCTACAAATCCCTAGCTTGCTTAAAAAACCCTCCTCCTTTCCACCACCATTAGAAACAAACTCCAGTTTCCATAGTGATAAGCCTCCCACCCCCACAATCGGGCCGTTCCTGACTTCCCGACCCCCGCTCTCACCGTTCTCCAGGCAAAGTACACTACCTGCCGCTCCCCCTGCTCCCAGCCCCACCCCCTTCTCACACTCGGGTTTCCCTTCCCCCTTCTCGGAGAAGCCTTCCCAGCTCACTTCATGGAGCTGTTCATACGTCGTATGCCAGTAACACGGGGACTCCCCGAGTGGCAGGGACTTTTGTCCCCCCTCTCCCCAGGGACCACCGCCAGCCCTCCCCAGATACGCTCTCTAAACACGCGCGGAATGAACGCAGCCTGGCAAAGGCGCCTCGGAGGAGAGTGAGGCCGGCCACCCTGCGGGAAGAGAAGGGGGTGTACCCCCTACAGGAGAGCACCCCCTACAGAGGGCACCCTCACTCCGCACGCAAGTCCCTCCATTCGGCCAGCAAGTGGTGAGGATGTTTGCCGTGCGGGCACGGAGAGGGCGGCACCGGAGAGGGCGGAGCCTGCACGGCGCCCTCGGGTTCGGAGGAGCCGGCGCACAGTCTGCACGGAGCCTCCGACGGCCACACCGGTGTCTTTGAAAGGGCCGCTTCTCCGCACCTTCCTTTCCCGAAACAGTCCCTTTTACACACACCTGTCTTCCTCCGGTTGTCGGACCAGGGACTTGCTTCCGTTCCACCGTCCGAGTTCCGTTTTTAATAACAGGGTTTGATTTTTTTCCGGGGCTGCTCTGCCGCCCGGCCCCTCCCAGAGCTGGCGGGACGGAGAGCGACGGTGAGAAAAGCTGAAACTCCGGGAAACGGAGAAGACACGGAGAAAGCGCTGGGAAGTCCAGCGCCTTCCTCAGACCGCCCCAGGGGGCACGCCACGCACCTGCCCCGCCTCCTCGACACAGCCTTCCCTTTCTTGGGGACCCCCTGCTCGCCACGGCCCGCCCCGCCGCCGCTCACAGGAAGACCCCGGCGGCCCCGCCTACCCGCACTACTACGGTCCCGCCCCCCACCCCGTGACTGACCGCGGGAGCGCCCTATCACGGACGCGCTGGTGGCAGAGGCCCCCGCGGCCCAACCGCTCCCTCCCGCCCCCGACGCCGTGAAGAGGGCCGGGCATTCGACTGGCGCGGCCGGGGCTCGAGCCTCTTCCAGGGCCCCTCCGCCTCCTGCTTACAAGCCAGCCTGTCGGGATTGGCCAGCCTTCCGCCCTGCGCGCGTTATGTAACTAGCCGTGGGACCTTCGCCCCCGCCCACTCGCCTCCGATTATGTAACCCGGGCGCCCCTTCCCGGGCCCCGCCCACGGACCAATGGGGGCCCTCAGTGCCGGAGGCGGTGGCCAATCGTGCGGTTAGGGGGCGGAGCCCAGTCACGCGGCACGCGGGGGGCGCGGCGCCCGTGGCCGCCCGCACGCGGCGGGCCTCGAGACTCCGGGGCCCCGCGGGGCTGGGCGAGCGACTGTGTGAGGGGCCGAAGGGCGGCGACGGAAGCAGCGGAGGCGGCGGCGACGGCGACGGCGGGTGAGTGCTGGGGTCCGGCAGGGAGGCCTCGGAGCTGGCCGGCCGCTGGTTAACCTGAGCCCGCCGTGCGCTCTGGGACCGCGGTCGGGCAGCGCCGGGTCGGGAACCTGGGGTCCTCGGAACTTTGTGCTTAAAGTTGCCCCCTGCGCCGGGACCCATTTCTGGGTGCACGCCGACTTTGCAGAGCTGCGGGTGGGCAAGTTGGGGAGCCCGAGTGAGGTTTCGTGACCGCCGGGGCTGAGGGTCCTTCCCGGGACTGCCCAGCTAGCGAGCCCCAGCCCAGTTTCTCGCACCCATTTCAATTTGTCCGTTTCACTCTGACATTTGTTACCTTCGCCTCACCCCCCCCCCCCCAAGGCTGGACCTCCCGTGAGTGAAGATCTCCAAAATTGTACGGAAACACTAGAGAGAAAAGTGCCTCCAGATGAGCAGAGATCCGTAATTGCTGGTTTCCGAGGACTGATTCTTACCTCGCATGCAATGGCACGGATCACAGTGAGGAGACAGTTTCCGTCGCTGGTTGCAAAGTAAGAAACAAGCAGGCAACGGATCAGGACTGCCAAGCAGAACATGGACGCTTGTGAAGATCTAAAAATGCCGAGCGGTAAATCGGACTCCCCGGGGGTTGAACCTGATGAACTTGAAGGACCACAGGCCGGCGGCACCGGGGCCCTGGGGAAGGAAGCTGATGGGCTGTGGCGCCAGAAATACCAACTGAAGAGCAAATACCTGGAGAGCAGCAACAGGTGATACTTTATAGCCTGCTCTGTTTGTTCTTGGCCGGAGCACTGAAAGGGAAAGGAGGGTTTCAGGCTTTGTTTTGTTCGTTTTTAAGTAAGACTAGGAGGAAGTCGAGGGGGAGACTCAGGAAACCTAGAATGAAATGCGCCGGGGAAACGGAAGGAAATTCCCAAGGAGTAAATAAAAAGTAGTTAAGGAGCTGAGTTGAGGAGGCTGGAGTGGGAACGGGAGTGGAAAATGTTTGATGGTGACCGGTGTCTTTGGCTGGGGTTCCCTGGCCTGTAACGACGAGATAAACCTGGGAACTGAAAGAGCTGATACACACGTTAAGAGCTTAGGAAGTCAAGAGCTTAGAAAGTCGCTTGGCACGCAGTACCCCGTTCGATACAAGTTGGTGTGGCCGTTACAGTCACTGAAAGTGTGAATTTATTTTTATCTCACAGTGAACTGCGAGATCGAAACAGAGTTTCTGAAGAGCTGGTAACGGTTGTCCAGGAAATGAAAAAATGCTTCCCGGCGGAGAGACACAGCAAACCCAGCACCCTCGATGCCCTCAACTACGCCCTCTGCTGCGTGCAGAGCGTCCAAGGTAAACGGGCTGGGGGGAGAGGGTGCAGCCCCGAGAGGCCACCGCTCGCTGCTCGGAAGCATCTGCCAGGCCAGATGCCTTGTCCATGGGGCTTTCGTCCCAGAAATGTTCAGGGATTTTTGTGCTGTTTTAGGTAAGATGAACATGGAATCTGGAGCTGACCCCACGAGGGGCTCGGTTTCTCGCCCTAGGGGTGCCAGGAGGACCTGGCCCGTGTGGAGCTTGGTGGCTGTGCAGTAAGCTGCCAAGCTGTGGCTGGAGAGTGGCATTCGGTACAAGCACTTTTTGAAGACGCATGTTTAAAAGAAGCATTGTCTTCCCTGGATACTAGGGGGGGAATACATTTGACCGAAAACATTTCACCTTTCCCTGCCATACACATACTTTTAAATGCACTTGCGATGTGTCAGGAACTTAGCCAGTTAGAAAATGAATGATTGTAAACACTTTCTCCCTTTTACCCCTGACTTTGCGTCTCGGGGGATTTCGTGAGACGCACGGTCTGGAGCGCAGACTCTGTGGCCTCGTGTGTCAGGCGCACACAGTCCCCAGGTGCGGGTGGGACGCTGCTGCCCTGGTGGCGCCTGCGAGAACGTGGAGTGGGGGGTGTCCGTCCCCCTCTAGTTAGTGCCGGAGACGTTCTGTTCCTCGTGCTCTCGAACGCGCAGGAGTCAGAGAGTCAGAAAGTTCGAGGTCTTCGGGCTGCACAGCTGGCAGCACTTGAGGTGAAGGAAGAAAACGGTCTGGTTCCGAGGAAACACCGAGGCGTGTCCTCCCGCGAAGGAGCAGCCGGCTCACCAGCCGTAAAAATGATTCCCTCAAGGCACTGTTTTCACTGGGCTCCCTGTTTGTTTCCCTGCGTTTCTCAGCAAACAGCGAGTTCTTCCAGATCCTCAGCCCAAACGGAGCACCTCAAGCAGATGTGACCATGTACAGTCTCGAGGAGCTGGCCACCATTGCCTCAGAGCACACTTCGAAGAACACAGTAAGGACTCGCACATTTTGCCACGTGAGCCTGGGTGGTTTTCCCTGACAGCCTCGTCTGGGAACGGCCTGTCCGCCGGCAGGTGTTCAAAGACGGTAAGGGAGAGAGTCGGTAGCCGCAGCGTGAGGTAGACAAGGGAGGAAAACCGCCGGCCAGGCGCGGCGGCCCCTGCCCTGGCCGGGGTCGGGCTGCAGGCGGCGAGCGGGGCGGCCTCGGCCCTTTGCTCCGCCCCGGCTCCCAGGCGCCGCCGCCTCCCCCCCCCCCCGCCCCCCGAGCCCCCCGCACTGTCTCAGACCGGAGACAGAGGCGGCCCTGCAGAGGGGTCCCTGCGTCTTACTCTGATCCCCCAGCTGTTCGTTTCTACGTATACCATTCTTAGTTCCCATACCTTATATCGGATATAAGGTATCCGATATAAGGTATCTGATATACTTATATCTGCTTCAGGTTGTAACAACTGGATTTGGTAGAACAGGTGAGTTGAGATGCTGTCATTTGTTCAGAATTTCGGAAGAGACACTTAGTATATCTTTTTTGAATCTCTTCATGTTGACAGTGATTTCACCTCAGGTTTTGCTGATATGATGGAGATAACTTTATGTTTAGATCTCGACATAACTGTAACTTGAAGGTTTTATAATATTGGAATGTGAGCTCTCCCTAATATTACGACAATTTTACGTTGCTAATCAGTGTGTTCATAGTAGGGTAGTGGGTGCTATTGAGATTTGAGGGCCAAAAAGTGAAAGAAAACATATCCCCGTGGTGGTCTGGGAGTGCAGCTGGAGCGGAAAACATAGGCCAACGCTCGCAGGTAGACACAGTGGTTGCTTATAATTAAGTTGTACTTATGTCTGATGAAACAAATTCAAGAAATCATTCTTGTTTTTCATCCTCACCAAAGGACATTTTTTCATTGCTTTTAGAAAGAGGAAGGGAGAGAGGGAAACATTGATGAGAGAGAAGCATCGATCCGTTGCCCTCTCTCTATAGGTTCCCGGACCAGGGATCATACACGCCTGGGCCGGGCATTGAACCTGCAACCTTTTGGTTATGGGACAATGGTCCAACCCAACTGAGCCACAGCGGCCAGGGATTGAGAAAGAATTCCTATGTAATGATGTTGGTTAAAGCATCTTCAAGGTGACTCTTGAGCTTGGTCTTCAAGCCTAGAATATGCTTTGGTGCAGAGAGGCAGTTCCTCCAGGTGTAAAGCACAGTTTGCAAAGGAGAAGGATTCAGAAGTCTGTGTATTAGCCCTGGCCAGTGTAGCTCAGTGGACTGAGTGCTGGCCTGCGAACCGAAGGGTCGCCGGTTCTATTCCCAGTCGGGACACATGCCTGGGTTGCAGGCCAGGTCCCCAGTAGGGGGTGTGTGAGAGGCAACCACATGTTGATGTTTCTCTGCCTCTCCTTAAAAAAAAAAGGAAAAGAAAAAGGAGTCTGTGTATCTATACGGTCTATGTGCTTATTAGTCAGTGTAGAAAGAACTGCTATGGTTTTTTGACCTAGAAATCGAGCCTTGGAAAGGCACCATGCAGGTTTCACGGCGTTGACTTTGCAGGGGTGTGTGTGTGTGTGTGTGTGTGTGTGTGTGTGTGTTCGTTCTAAGCTATCGATCACGGTAGAAACCCAGAAGACATTTGTACCTTTCAGGGGATATTGCTGGGATCCCAATATTTGCATTTATTTTGAATGTTTTTCATAGGATACCTTTGTGGCGGTTTTTTCGTTTCTGTCTGGAAGGCTAGTGCACATTTCCGAGCAAGCAACTTCAATCCTGAACTGTAAGAAAGAGTCCCTGGAGTCCTCTCATTTTGTTGAACTGCTTGCTCCTGAAGACGTGCGGGTGTTCTACACTCACACCGCGCACACTCAGCTTCCCTTCTGGAACGACTGGACCCGAACAGGTAATGCACCTGCGCCCGGCGGTCCGCCGTGCCTCGCGAGGACCACTCTTCCTCTTCCGGTGATAACATAGAAATGTGTGCATCTGGTAGAATGGACCGACTGGGGTTTCTTTTCTTTCAAAAATTAGAATTGGTGACCACATTTTAAATGCTTCTGAAAACATAAAGATTCAGTAAGTTTGCTTTTATGTAGTCGAGTTAGCTTCATAGATCACATATTGTAAATGCGGTTTGAGTGTCGGCATGCTGTGTAGCAGGTGAGTTGCTGTGAAGGCTCTTTCTTTTAAATTAATAAAATTAAATGTTTTTTTCTCCTATATTGACTTCGTTATGTCTTAGCTTGGCTTTGCAGATAAACGCCTGATGGTCAGCTTTCTTTTCCACTTTCTCTTGTCCCTAAAAGTCTATGACTCTCATTACTTTTCCTTCTGAAATGCTGCTTTTCCTGACCTGGGTATGTTTGTTCCATTTGCCTTGTGATACTCAGTCCTGCATGATCTTCAAACGAGTCATTATTTCTTTTTTACGTCGCCCTTTATTAGTTCACGTTCTTCGTAAAATATCTCTTAAGAACTTAGTTTATAGATCATCCTTCTCTTTGATTCCAAGTCCTTTTCTCTAATTTAAAAAAAATGTTAATTACTGTATTTTGCTGTGTATAATGCGTGTGCATGTTTTTGTGCGCATTGTACACGGGATTATTATACTTATTATTGCACCCATGGTGTGTAATCATCACACCCACGTGTAATGCACGTCCTTGTTTTCCTCTCAAAAATTTGGACCAAAGGTGCATGTTATACATGGCAAAATGTGGTAAGTTTTTACTGTTGTGAAAAAACTCATTAACAAAATTGCTAACCATTTTTAAGAGTACAGCTCAGTGGTGCCAAGCACGTTCACATTGCTGTGAAACAGATCTCCAGAACGTTCTCATCTTGCAAGTCTAAAGTTCTGTATCCATTCTGATTTTGTAATCCAGCGCTTGGTCCAGTGAAGAGTACAGCCTTGCTGCTTTTCTGAGTTGTAGGTCGTTGCCCCGTCTTTTGTGCTTCAGAGCACAGACCTGTCCACCCTGGCCCCCCCCCGCTCCCCCTCTCCTGTTGCCAGCATCGCGCAGAAACATGGATTCCGTTCCTCTTCCTCTTCCCTAGGCACCTGCGTTCAGCCCTTCACCGCCCGTGTGTGTTTCTCCGCATTTATCAACCATTTAGTCCATGAACATTTGCCCCGCAATCCCTGTGGGCCAGGCGCTGTTCTAGGTGCCAGGGTACAGTGGGAGCGGAGCGGATGTGGCAGTTGGCAGGTTCACGCACCTTCCGTGGTGTCCTCCTCCCACTTCCCTGTGGGGTCACTGTCTCACCCTTCCAGCCTTTTTCTCTTCGCTAGCTGCTTGTTCCGATCTACTTCCTCTCCTTGTGAAGCGTACTTTGACCTGAAATTGTTGTCTTTTAAACCTAAACATTTACTCGCTTCGTGGAGACCTGACGATGCGCATGTCGCCGCTCCTCGCCTTGCACTCTGCCTCCTCGTCCTCAAGAGCCCGCTCTTCCTGGGCGCGGCCGCCAAGCTCCGCGGCTTTCTGGGGCTGGGCCCCTGCCCCTCCTCCTTTCCCTCCCTTCCTTTGAGCTCAGAGAACATAACGAGGGCACAGGAAGCTGTAACCTCAGCTGTCGTCGGCTTTTGGCCCTGCATTAGAGCGTGTTTCAACTTCAATTGTGGTCCAGACCTCTCAGAAGGAGCTGACTCCTGTTTCTTTAGAACGCATTTAGAAAACGAGAAGTCACATGTTGCCACTGAGGTGTGGACATGAGAAGGGCCCACGTCTGTGTTTGAGGGCACGCGGTCAGCTCCCTGTGTAATGAGGCTCCAGATGAAGGCAGTTGAGTCTGGTGTCTGCTGTAAGGTACAGATAGGGTAAGGAAGTTTGCCTGCGTAGAGTTGCACTGTTTTCTACATGCAAGGAATATTAAGCTAGGAATCTGAAGGTCTGAGTTTTAATGTCTTTTATCCTCACCCAAGGACATTTTTTCATTGCTTTTAGAGAGAGACGAAGGGAGAGAGAGAGACATCGATTGGCTGCCTCTTGTAGGCCCCCCGTCTGGGTATCAAACCCTCAACCCAGGCATGTGCCCTGACTGGGAGTCAAACCCACAACCTTTTCGGTTTATGGGGCACAGTGCTCCAGCCAGCTGAGCCACTCGGCCAGGGCTGAAAGTCTGAGTTTTAAATCGAGTTCTGTCCCTTCATGAACCTTGGTGGCCATTCAGCTCCTCAGTAAAAAGTGGTCATTTCTGACCAGCCTACTAACACACAGCTGCTGTAAGAGGCAAGAAGGCAAGTGGTTGGAAAGCTCTTTGGAGACTGGGAGCATCCTACAGCATAAGGAGCATGTCCTAACTGCTGCTCCTTATTGAACAGGGACTCTTCCTGATGTGGTGGTGGGTTTTATCTGCCCAGAAACCTCGTGAGGTGTGGATGCTTCCATCATCCCCAGTTGACAGAGACGGTAACTGTTAGTTGGAAGTCAGAGAAGAAGCAACTGTCCGGTGGGATTAGCCGTGCCCAGGATTTAGGGAAAGGAGCCCCGCCCCCAGTTCAGGGCCGACCAGACCCCCGAGGGAGGGGCAGCCTTGGCCTGCGGCACAGCTCAGAGAGCAGTGGGGCCCGGCAGCCACGGGGAGTGTGGGAGTGCAGGAGTGCAGGCCACAGCAAGTGTGTGCGTGGGCGGAGCCCTGGGTCCCCGGGGCGTGGCCTGCCACAGGGCCCCCTTGTGCCCAGGCGGTGGCCAGGGCAGCCTGTGGGAAGCGATGCCCCTTGAAGCCTGGAGCCCTGCCCCGTCTCGGCCACCACAGCCCTGAGGCACAGAGCCGAGGGACTCACCCTGGGTCACACTGCAGGGCCTGATTTCACCTGGGGGGGGCGGCCGGAGCCCCCGCTCTTAGCCATTGCCCCCGCCCTCCGGCGGCAGGGCTGCCTGTGACGGTTGCTCTCCACTAGGGGACCGCGCCTAACAAGGCGTTTGGCGGGAGTGGCACCGAGGTGGGTTCCTGTCCGTAAAAACTTCGCAGAAAACGAAGGCTGTTGGTGAAACGTCCTCATCCTGCAGCCATTCCTCCAGTTCTGTGCTCGGGCTGGAGCGCGTCTGTGTGTAATTAGCTCCGCAAGCTCGCCGGACTGAGTTGTTCTTTACTCGCTTCCCGCAGGCGCGCTGTGGGAGCCGTCTCCGCTTTCAGACCCTGGGGCTCCTGCCTGCGTCGTTTCCTGAGTTTTGATAGTTGGGTCTTTGGTCCCTTCACTTTTAAACTGGAGGGGGTTTTGGGGGGTTTTTTTACTCATGTCCATTGTCCTTGATCCTTCAAAAGCCCATTTCTGATTCTTCCTGTGACAAAATTCCTTAGAAGTGCAGAGACCTGGACCAGATTCCATGTTTGGGTTCTTTAGAATTCTGCTTGTTTATACTTACTCAGTGTATATTTTTAACGTCTCCTTGGTTTTAAATGTTTCCTTGGTTCCCGTAACTGAGGACTTTTTGCCCCCGTGAACAAGGAGTTCACCCAGACGGTGTATTCAGGGAACTCCAAGCCCAGGAGATGCAGTCGGCAAACCCTTGGGACAGGCGCAGCCCGCAGTCCCCCAGGACAGGCAGGGGTGGGCGTCTCTGAAGCACCGCCCCGCGGGTCAATCAGACTCCTGAGCCGTGTGGTTAATGGCGCTCGTCGGTAGGTGACCGTCTCCCGGGCGTCGGTCTCCCGCACGTGGGGAGAGCCTGACACGGCCCTGTCCTGTCACCGAGGGGCACGACTTAGGGGGTTTGTCCCAGGAAAGGAAGCCGTGGAGGAGATGTGTGCGTCATGCACCTAAAAGTTGTAAGGAGTCACATTCTCCATTCTTGAGACTCGCCCACGCTGTCACAGTGGAACAGAACGTTACCACCGAGACCGCTGTGCCGGGGGATTCTTCCGCGGACGTCTGCGGGAGTGGGTCGGGCCGCGGCAGAGGGTCTGCCGGGAGCAGGGCGCGGCGACTGCGGCCGGCGCTCCCGTCTTCGTGCCTGGGGGCTCCCGTGCGAAGGGACAGCCCTGGGCGCGGCCAGACCTCACAGTGAGGGCGGGTTGGGGGGGGTCCCACTTTAATCAGAGTGTCTCTCCCTTGAAAACTGCCGCCTGGTGGGTGTGGTGCCAGTGTGCCATTGTCTGTGTGAGGAAGTGCTGCTCGGGTGTCTCCGGGGGGTGAGTGACAGCTTCCCTTTGTCCCCGCAGCGTCGCAGTACGACTGTGCTCCGGTGAAGTCCTTCTTCTGCCGGATCCGGTGAGTGCGGGGGCTCGCGGGGGCGCACGCACCACGGCAGCCTGGGCTCTGACTCCAGCAGCGCTTCCTTCCCCCTCCCGCACCCGCACCCCGGGGCCTGCTGTGGGCGCACAGGACAGGACTTGGTTCCCGCCACAAGGAGTTGGTAGTTTGGGGGTGGGGAACGTCCCCTCGTTCGAAAAGCGGACGGGCGGTGCGCCAGGAAGCAGCACAGAGGGCCCACTCGTGACCTGGGGCCCGTTCACGTGGCCGTCATGGGGCCGTTCGCTCGTGTGCTCTCTGTTGCTCAGCCACGTTTAAAATTAACTTTTGAAATTGTGAATAACTTGAAAAAAGCAAGATCGTATATCTATGACAAGGATTCAAAAGGTCCAGAGATAACTGAACTACTAGAGGAAAATAGGCCAAAATTATAATGGTAGTTAATGTCCCATAGGATTTCTTAGTGGTCTTTCCTACCGAGTCTGCTGCCGTGTGCACGGATGTCACCCTCGCGCCCGCGCTCCCTGCACAGCAGGATGCCGCGGTGCCGATCGGGCGCTGGTGTGTGGGTGTGGCATTCGGGGGGGCGTCCAGGCCAGAGGCAGAGGTCAGGCCTCCAGCACGTGGGGGGCACTGCGCCCAGGGCTGCAGGGCGAAGCAGAGAAGCCGTCCCGGGGGCGGGGGCGGGGGCGGGAGAGGACTCGTGGGGCACCGCGTTCCGTCCTGACTCGACTCGCCCAGCGGGCTCGGCCACTGCTCCACCAGCCCTCTCCCCCGTCGCATGACGACAGGCTGCAGTTGCCTGGGTCTTGAAAATTCAGGCTAACATTTCCCCTCTCTTTAAAATAAATAAGTTTAAGCAATTTAGATCAGGCTATGTCTCTTTTAGAAATCACCAATAAAACATTTTCCCAGCCATGTGAAAATATTTTGGGCCAATTGAACGCATCGGACAGCCTCGAGCCATTTCTGTTCTTTGCAGCGGAGGCGAGAGCAGAGAGCAGGAGAGGCGGTACTACCCCTTCCGGATCATTCCCTACCTGGTTCACGTGCACAGCTCCGCGCAGCCGGAGCCCGAGCCCTGCTGCCTCACGCTGGCTGAGAAGATTCACTCTGGTTACGAAGGTCAGTGGGGAGTGTCTGCGTCCGCGTGTCAGGGAGGGCCCGGGGGACGGCGGCCTGTGGGGGAGCATACAGGCCTGCAGCTGGACCTGGGGCGCGCGTAGCCAGGGGTCCGGCGGCCTGGTTTGCTGACCACGATGCCTGTGGGGTCCTCTCCTTCACGGACGGACAGCCTGGCCGCGGGGGCTTGCCATGCACACGCTTGGTTCTTGAATGCTCTCTCTGCTGGCGACAGTCCGCTGGCCTTTTGCTTCCGCCTCGTGGGAAATGTGCGCATTGAAGTCGTCGTACAGCGAGGTCACAGGGAGGAATTTATGTTTTCAAAGTGTTGTGGAGCCCCCTGGTCTTTATCGTGGGTAGATAGAAGCTCCTTAGGCCGGTGGCAGAGCTACGTTTTAAAGTCCGCACGCCCGTGCAGGAGCAGCTTCCGTTTATTATTTGAGATTACAGTTGCCTCTGCTGTCACGTGGCGTATGCTCTAAAAACAGTGGGCCTCTGCAAAAACAGGCACTCAGAAGAAAGACCACAGGACTCCTGGGGAAAAAGAAGTTAGGGGCACAATGCTCAAAAACTCAACCACATGTTAAAAGTAAGACAAGCCTCTGTTCAAAACAGTGACAGTTTGGAACATTCCATGGTTAAGTAATGAAATTGGTGCAGCCACTATGGAAAACAGTATGAAAGTTTCTCAAAAAATTACGCATGGAATTACCGCGTGGCCCACCAACTCCACTTGCAAGTATATGTCAGAAGACATCCAAGACAGTCACCCGGAAAGATGTGCGCGCCCGTGTCCGCTGCAGCGTAGTTCGCAGCAGCCAGGACGTGGAGGTAACCCGGCTGCGCGTCAACAGACACCTGGGTGGAGAGGAGGTGGCACTTGTGTAGGTAGCGGAATGTTAATGAGCCATGAAAGAGAATGAAATCTTACCGTTTGCAACAACATAAACAGACCGGGAGGCTGTTGTGTTACGTGAGGCACAGACAGAAAAGACGTGCCACATGACTTCATCATTTATATGTGGAATCTGAAGGGGGTTGCAAGTGAACGCAACAGAAACAGAAGCAGACTCACAGGTACAGAGGACAGACCGACGGCGACCAGGCGCGGGGGGTGGGGGATGGCTGAGAAGGGTGGGGGGACCGAGAAGCACAGACCGGCAGCCGTGAGGGATGCGAAGACCAGCTTCGAGAGGACTGTCTAAAACGCTGGAATAACTGTGTGGTGTCAGGTGGGTACCAGAGCTGTCTGAGGGGGCGGGCATTCGCTTCCTAAATTACATGATTGTCTGATCACTGTGCTGTGTACCTGAATCTAGTGTAAAATAGTATTGAGTGTCAACTGTAAATGAAAAGTAAAGTTTTCAGTGAAAAAAGAAATGCACAGACAATCCAGTAAGTAGGGCTCCTCACCGTAGGAAAGCCCCACAGTTTGCTTGTGGGCGTGGCTGTTGGAGTGGTGGTGAGGGGTGTGAGGGAGTTTTTCTGAAACAAGGCCGGCAGTTCTGACGTCAGATACTCAGGCATGTCCCCCAGCTCAGGGCGTGCGGAGGAAGCAGAGAGGTGTCTGGGGGTGAGCACGTTCCTGTGTATTCCTGCGTGACCCCATTCGGTTAGGTGTTTTCTGCATTCACCTCTCATTGCTTGCCCCTGAAATCGTGCATATGCAAATGCAGGCTTTGTGTTATGCTCAAGTGGTTCTCTAATGCATTAACCCCATTTTCAAGGCGAGCTGTGGCAGAACTGATCACACCAGTTTTCTCACGCAAATCAAAAAGTGCTCGTGTCGTGCTGACATTTTAAATCCCCTGTGTTCAGTTCCGTACAACCACTAACGATGAGTAAACTGATCGGGAGCTGCACGGTGCTGCAGCTTTGACGGTTAGATTATTTGTGATGAGTGAGCTCTTCAGTGTCCACGGCTTTCTCTGTCTGAAATTAGCTTTAGTGGCCGTGCCATTTTGACCTAATTAAAAGGTAGGTAGTGATGAAAATTACTGTCATCTCACTGCAGCTTTGCTCAGAGTGAGATTTTACCATTTCACGCAGCAGATGTGTTAAGTGCTTAGTTGAGTGGATGGTTAATTAGGTATCTGCCTTTAAATGAATATCTGTTTTCCATAGCTCCTCGAATCCCAGTGGATAAAAGAATTTTTACCACAACACACACTCCAGGGTGTGTTTTTCTTGAGATAGATGAACGGTAAGTACTTCTTCAAGCCTAAAAGAAATTTGTTTCTGGAAATAAATACAAATATATGAAAAGGCTTACACATGCTTAATACTTATTATATGTTACATATCTGTTAGCTGCCCATTATCTTTAGATTTTTGTTAGTTTGAAATTATTTGTGTTGTCTCAATTTTTAATATAAATATCTTTTAAATATAAAAAAAGGTGCACAAATACTGTGGGAAAATAGTCACATAATCTAAGAAATGTTGGTCATCTGACTCCCTGCGTCAGAGTCATCTGGGGAACCTGCCTGCACACGGACTCACGGGCTCGCCGCAGGCTGGCGGGGCGGAGCTTCTCGGGTAAGAAATAGAAGCATAAAACACTCCTAAGATTTGCAAGCTGTATTTGATTTCACAGCAGTCTGCTTTTTAGGTAAGTCGGGAGTTACTGTTCCCTTTACGCAAGAGGACAGTGAACATCCTCTTGTTTGCCAAGAACGGATGTGCTCTATAATCAGTGTGCCCTAAGACAGGGTGACCCCAAGCTCTGGGCCCCGGCACCTGGTCTGGGGTTATTTCCACCAGACAGGTGCTTCCCGAACCGGTTTGTGGGTTTTTTTTAGTCTGAAGGGAGGGGAAAAAAGACATTGTGTGCGTGTGTGTGTGAGAAACTAAATTTACTTAAAGAATTGTTATTTATTTTGACTTAGCTCCTTCCTATTTTTTTAAGTGTTAAAATAATATTTTTTATTTAAAGAGTAGTGATGTTGTTTTTTAATGTCTTTATTTGGAAAAATAAAATGTTATCTCCTGATCAGTACCCCTCCATTTTCCCCCAATTTAAAATTTTTTCTTGTGCAATCTCAATGATCACACATAAGCATAAAGTAAAAATGTTAAAAACTTGGCATAATTATGATATGTTAATTTTGATTTTTTACAACTCTTAACATGTGAAAATGGGTTTATTTCACAGTGGATACCCTGAAATAGTAGTTGGTGAGGTACTTTGTCTCCTATAATCTGTAGAAAGTAAGATAATTTAACCAAGAGTATTCTGAAAGTAGCTTAGACTTTACCACGTTGGACAGTATTTTCAGTTTGTAACAGAAACCGTCTGTGGGGTGGTTCTTCTTCCCGAGCTGTCCCGAGGGCCTCGCCACGACCTCCCCTGCACACCTGTTGTTGTCGTCCTGCGGCTGGCCGCGTGCCAGCCGCCATCCATCTGGTGTGGCCTTCGCGGGACGTTGTGTTTGTGTCATTGTCATCGTATGACACAGACGTGGAGTGTGCTTCGTTCACGTGACGTCAGAAGCATTTGTCTGTGTTTGGACGTGATCTCTGTGTGCTCTTCAAATGGCAGCGAAGTGGAGGACGTAGGAGCTCGGAGGGACTGGGGAGACACGTGCATTCCGGGTCTCCCCCGGAAGCCCCGCCCCGCCAGCCCCCGAGTCCGTGTGCGGGCAGGCTCCCCAGATGACTCGGACGCAGGGAGTCAGATGACCCACGTTTCTCAGATTACGTGACTATTTTCCCACAGTATTTGCGCACCTGTTTTTCATATTTAAAACTAAGCGAACGAGTTACTTTGTTAAAGTGGGCAGAGGGTAAAAAGTACTGCGTGTAACCTGTTGCCTGTGCTGGGTCTGTGCCCAGAGCCGTGCCTCTGCTGGGGTACCTGCCTCAGGACCTGGTCGGGACGTCCATCCTCACGCACCTGCACCCGGAGGACCGCGCCCTGATGGTCGCCGTGCACCAGAAAGGTGAGGGCGGACGTCTTCGTGGGAGGAAGTGGCTTTCTTAGTCATCGATCTGACTTTTCGTTTCATTCTTCATTAGAGCTTAACCTTTAATCGGGTCAGTGATGTGTTAAAACTGCTAAGACAACTTATTTTCCTACTTTGACATTCTTAAAAATTTATAAATAGGGGAGAATGGGTAGGGTTTACAGGAACAAATTTAAAGAACACATGGACAAAAACTCGGGGGAGGGTGGTCATGGGAGGGAAGTGGGGAGGGTTGGGTGGGTGGGCTGGAGTGGGAGTAAAAGGGAGAAAACTGTACTTGAACAATGATTAAAATAAAAAAATTTATAAATAAATGCCGGAAAATGGTATTTGTAATGTTTGCGTTCCATTCTTACTTTGTGCAGTGCTGAAGTATGCGGGCCACCCTCCCTTTGAACACGCGCCCGTCAGGTTCTGTGCCCAGAACGGCGACTACGTCATCCTGGACTCCAGCTGGTCCAGCTTCGTGAACCCGTGGAGCCGGAAGGTCTCGTTCATCATGGGCCGCCACAAAGTCCGAACGTAAGGCCGCCGTCACGCTTACGTTTTCTGAAAGAATCTTGTTTTGTCAAGTAATATTCCTTTGTGCGCTTACTCCACCTTGAGTCAGTTAACACATGAGCTAAATGGGAAAAACCAAAAGGGGGTGTGTGTGTGCGTGTGCTTTTGGAGGACAGTTTAGCAGTACGTATCAAGGGCCTTGAGAGATTTCTCTCTTTGACCTGATGGTTCATCCGTAAATATTCTAAGGAAAATAATGGGTAAACACAGAAAAGCTATAGAAAGAAAAGATGTATTTTGAGATTTAATCATAATGGCAGATTTATAGGAACTAAAATGGACATTGTTAACTAATCTGGAATATTTGCTTCACCTGTTTAGTGTATTGGTCAGTAAACATTTTTACAAATTCTGGTCAAGATAGCAGCATAGGTAAACACAGCTCACCCCCTCTAATAACCACATCAAAATTACAACTAAACTATAGAACAACTACTACTCAGAACCGTGAGAAATCAAGTTGAATGGAAGTTTGACAACTATGGGATTAAAGAAATCACACCCATCCAGACCGGTAGGAGGAGTGGAGAGACAGAACAGGATGGTCCCGCATCCACGTGTGGTGGATACAAATTCAGGAGGATATCTTGGGAGCAAGGAATTCCTGCTCCACACCAGGCCCTCCAGTCTAGGGTTCCAGTGCCAGGAAGACAAGTGCCCATAACTTCTGGCTGCAAAAACCAGCAGGAATTGAGTCAGTGGAAGAAACTTCTGGAGTTCCAAGCCAGTTCCTCTTAAAAAATGTACACATGGACTTACTCAGACCCACTTCCTCTGAGCTCCAGCACTGGGGTAGCAGCTCGAGAGGCACCAGTGGTATACGGGGCCGGGGAGAGGGGGGCAGGGACTGCAGTGTCTGGCATCAAGGCGAGAGCGGGGGGACAGCTTTCTCCCAGACAGAAAGGTGAGCGGAAGCCATTGTGCCTTTTCTCAACCCTCCCCCCACAGAGGCAGCAGGCAGGTGTCATATCTGAGACCCCATCCACCAGGCTAACACTGTCCTGCCCTGGAGGTCCCTGAGGCTGCATCCCACTCAATTTACAACTTTTAACAGTGGCTTTTCCGTATGAATAACTGGTCTTGGCTCATGCTTCATGAGGCAAAACTTCCTAAATTTTTCAAATAAGCAGCAGCTGACCTCAGTGAGCCCCCAGTCTCTGTACCTCTTGCTAAGTGGCTCCTGAGCAGGCACTAGCAGCAGCCAGCCTAGATTCACAGCTTGGCTTCACCTGGGAATCTCCAAGCTCCGCACAAGTAGCCATCTCATGCAGGGTAGCCCTGGGCAAAACACAGGTGGGGTCTGACCTTGGCCTGCATCACCCAGGAAACCCCAGAGGCAGCGCACCCAGTGGACAGTGACAGACTATGTTGAAGCACCACCACCCCGCTGCTAAACAGCTGATCCTCCATGGAGGACAGAGGTTGGTGGTCAGTGGTCACAGCCAATCCTTGCAGCTGTGTGGCCTTGATAAATCCCTCCCATTGATCTGCCAATAGTAACCAAAGCTCAACTATAAGACGAAGGCATACTTAGCCCACACAAAGGTTATACCTTGAGTACCCAGCTGGGTGACAGGGGAGGCTGTGCCACTGGACCCTACAGGGCACCTACTACATTAGGCCACACTACCAAGATAGAGTAGCAAGAGTCTTAGCAGCTCTGCCTAATACATAGAAACAAACTCGGGGAGGCTGCCAAAATGAGGCAGAGAAACATGGCCCAAATGAAAGAATAGAAAAAAACTCCAGAAGAAGAACTAAAAAAAATGGAGATAAGCAATCTGTCAGATGTAGAGTTCAAAACACTGCTCATAGGATGGTCAAGGAACTTCATGAGGACCTCAGCAACATAAAGATCAGTCAGAAACAAAGGATACACTAATTGAAATAAAGAACAATGTGCAGAGAAACAACAGTATAATGAATGAAGCCAAGAATCAAATCAATGATTTGGAACATAAGGAAGCAAAAAACAACCGCTCAGAACAAGAAGAAAAAAGAATTTAAAAAGAAGAAAGGATAATGTAAGGAGCCTCTAGGACAATTTCAAGAGGTCCAACATTTGCATCATAGGGGTGCCAGAAGGAAAACAGCAAGAAATTGGAAATCTATTTGAAAACATAATGACAGAAAACTTCCCTAATTTGGTGAAGGAAATAGACATGCAAGCCCAGGAAGCACAGAGAGCCCCACACCAGATGGATGCAAAGAGGTCCACTCCCAGACACATCGTAATTAAAATGCCCAAAGGTTAAAGGTAAAGAGAGAATTTTAGAAGCAGCAAGAAAAAAACAGTTAGTTACCTATAGGGGAGTTTCCATAAGACTGTCAGCTGATTTCTCAACAAGGACTTTGCAGGCTAGAAGGGATTGGCAAGAAATATTCCAAGTCATGAAAAGCAGGGACCTACGGCCAAGATTGCTCTACCCAGCAAAACTATCGTTTAGAATGGAAGGGCGGATAAAGGGTTTCCCAGGCAAGAAAAAACTAGAGGATTTCGTCATCGCCAAGCCATTATTACATGAAATGTCAAAGGAACTTAAGAAAAAGAAGAAGATAAAAACTATGAACAATAAAACGGCAACAAATACATATCTATCAACAAATGAATCTAAAAAAAACAAACCAAGCAATAAGAGGAACAGGGACAGAACCATGGACACGGATTGCATTTTGATGGCTGCCAGATGGGAGGGGGGAATGGGTGCACAGGTGAGGGGATTAAGAAATCCAAGTAGGTCCTTGTGGAATAGCCTTGAGGGTGTAAAGTGCAGTGTAAGAAATGGAGCAGCCAAAGAACTTACGCGCACAACCCGTGGACACGAACAACGGTGGGGGCACTGCCTGAGGGAGAGGGGGTGCTGGGTGGAGGGCAGCAAAGGGGGGAAAATTGGGACAACTGTAATAGCATAATCAGTAAAAAATACGATTTAAAAAATTCTTACATAGATTGGACAACCTGGGAAAGTGATGTATTAGATGTAAAAAGCAGCGTACAAAATGGTTTATACCATGTGATTATAATTGTCTAAAATGCAAACACTACGAAATATGAAAAAGATTAGAAGGAAATAAAATAGAAGTTGTTTTTGTGTGGGATGGTAGGATTATGGTTGTACTTTGTTTTGCCTTTTGTCTTCAAGCTTTTAAAAAAGTTTCAAGATTCCTTAAAAGTGTTTTCCTGCCCGCAGGGCTGGTTCAGGCCTACTTGATCGCCCTTCCCCGTACGTTTGACTGACCTGGGAGCTGGGTGGGAGCGGCCTGGCCCGCCACCCTCGGACCCTGGGGTGCTCCTCGTCCCTTCGCTTTTTGGTCCATTTAAAATGGACCCGTAGGTTCCTCGGCTGGGCCGTGGGTTTCCCGTTAATGTCTTTGTTTTTAAGGATGGAAGTTGAATTTAACTCTTTATTGTGGTGCCGAGACTGAGGCATCCCCCGAATTTCGTTGTGCGGCTGTGTGCGCAGAAGCATAGCCCGAGAGCAGCCGGCCTGCCGCACGGCCCGTGTGACCAGGTCTCAGACTGGGCGCGTGTGCCAGCCGTGCCGAGGGACGGGCCGCACAGCGCACCTGCCTCTTGGTCCTCTGGGGCTCGGCCCGCAGCAGGGCAGGGCCGGAGCCTTGATGGACCACACGGGCTCCTTGCCCCCCTAGCTCGTGAGACTGACATGTGCCAAAAAGCTAATCCCGTAATTACAGTAAGAAATACGACTGCCAAGTAAGTGCTGTGCATGTTGGTCACAAAGGACTTTTTTCCCTGGCAGGGAGACTTACTGGGAAATGAACATCAAGTCAGATGCTTGCTCAGTGTGAGTTTAGACTGATGAATAGCAGCGTCTGCTGGTTGGTCTCGGCGCCCTCCGCAGTCAGTGCTGGAGACGCGGCCTGGGTTCCTCAAGTCGTCCTTGCAGTCCTTTGACTGAATGTATTTGATGTCTAAGGACTCACAATGCTGTCACAATTTTTAAAAATTACAAAAGTTCCCTGATCCTGGGTGGTTCAGGTGGTTGGGTGTCATCCCACAAAGCCAAAGGTCGCCAGTTCGATTCCCAGTCAGGGCACTTGCCTGGGTTTTGGGTTGGGTCCCCAGTCAGGGTGCATGTGAGAAGCAACCAATCAGTGCTTCTCTCCCTCTTGTTCTCCCTCCCCTCCCCTCCCCTCCCTCTAAAAAATAAGTTAATTAAAAGTTTTATGTAAGTTAAAAACTGCGTTTTTAAAAAATTACAACAATATTTACATCTCAAGATTTAGAATTAAGTAAGGGAAAGAACTCAAGAGTCCAGTAAGTATTACTCTCTTGTACATTATCCATTGCATGTATAAGTTATTTTAATGCATTTATTCCTTAAATCAGCACTTACAGACCCCATTCTGCTACAGGGACTGTACTAGACCCTGGGAGTGAGATGACAGGTGCTCTCGTGACTGTCACGACGCCCGCAGCGCAGTAGAGAGGCAGTAAAGAGAGGTCAGCAGGGGTTAGGACACTGTGGCAGTTGAGGGGGAAGGGGGCTCTGAGAGAGGTCAGCAGGGACCGTCCCCATCTCCCAGCAGCCCTGTGCACGGGCAGGTTAGGTGCCGGTGGCGCCCCTTTCACGGAAGAACTGTAGCGGGGAACTGGAGTCGCCGCCCTGGGCCCGCGGAGGAGTTGTTCACAGAGCGGGGCCAGGTGCCGGTCTTCTCCCACCGCCAGTCGCTGTCCTGCACCGGCCCTGGTCAGTGACAGCCGTGCGCTCTCACCCAAGTGGCAGTCACCTTGTGTTACACAATTACTGATTAAAGCGTCAACTTCGTTTTGTACAAAGTTTCACAAGTTGGAGCATCTAAATCTCCTACCACAAATCCGTCTGTTCTGTCTCCATTTCTGAATTTTACTTGGAAAATAAAATGCGGACCCCTCGGGGGGACATCCAGGCCCCGCGTGTGGGTGTGTGTAGATCGGGAGTCCCAAGTGCTCGGTTCCCAGACGGACCCTCCCCTGACGGTCGTTGTCCCGTGCCAGGCCCTGCTGTGGGCGCAGGAGGGGAGGGCACGGTGCACCGGACGGCCTGACTCCACAGGGAGAGATGGACCGCACACCCGACGGTTGCGCAGAGGCCGCCGTGTGTCCGGCTGTGCGTGCCGGTGCAGCTCCTCACGCACAGCACGGCACGCACTGTGCCGTGGCCGACGGACACGAAGGGCGTACTGGCCGGAGGCGGGGCTCCTCCTGACGACTGTGCTGACACCCGGTGGCCTGGTGGTGGTGACTTCTGTCTGGGGAAGCCTTGCGGTCCGTAGGGCACGGAGCTGCGCGGTTGCGCAGAAGCCGCAGGACGGCACAGCGGGGGAGCCCCGCACTGGCTCCTGGGTCCCGCGCTGCTGCTCTCGGTTATGTGAACTCGGACCTCAGGGCCACTCCTGCGTCTGGGGCTTGCGAGGACTCGGCCGCGCCGGATCTGACTCTGTACGCCTCCTTCTCGGTGCTTGCTTTACCGAGATCGCGAGAGGCGGTCAGTGTGGGGGTCCCGTCTGGTCCCTTCCTGACTCCCTGCTTAGCCCGCGCCGGCCCGGTGGCCTGGCACAAGCGCCCACCTCCGGTGAAGCACACAGTACCGGGTAGAGCACTTGGCGCCTGGCTCGTCTCGGGGTTTAGGAAGCGCTGGCCATTCCCGTGGCGTGCGGTAGAGCTGGCCCGCTGCCTGCACATGGAGGGCCAGAGACGCGCCGGGCCTCTTCCGTGTTCTCCCGTGGGCACGCCTGCTCCTCACTGTGTGCAGGCAGGGGATGCAGAATGCGCTGGGATTCGGACAGAGAGGAGACTCGGAGGGAGTCTGACAGCCACACTGCTACCTGTTGATTGTCTGGCTTGAAGTCTTCGGTGCTTCAACCATTCAGTGTTGCCTGGCAACCCTAAGGTCCTAGATTTCCTACAGTGGGTTACTCAGTTCCTGCTAAATTTTGAGACCAGTAGTTGCTGGAGATGATTCGGTAGCTAAGGAGGTTCCTTGCCACTGATTGTAGATTTATATACGCAAACAGTGCTGAAGCAATGGTAGAAAGACTACGATTACAGAGAGACTAAAGAACCTGTTAATGTGTTTATCAGTGTTTCCTCTGCCTCTGTGAGTAGAATTTTTGCTTCGTATGTTCTGTATTCAGAGTCAAAGAGTTGCCTTGTAGAAGCATGGGTTTATTATTTGATTATTGAAAGTCACGTTGGATCTCACCGGCAGTGAACTTGACGTTGCTTGGCTCAGCCTGCACTCGGTGTTTTGTAGGAGTCCGCTGAATGAGGACGTGTTTGCTGCCAGAACGAAAAAGACAAACGGCGATGACAAGGACATAACAGAATTACAAGAACAAATTCACAAACTTCTGTTACAGGTAAAACGAGAGGTCTTTAAAGGGTTTTGTTTGTTTATTTTTGGATGGGGGGAGGGTGGGAAGAAGAGAGAACAGGAACTTCAGTACAAGACAAACCTGGATCGGGTGCCTCTCGGGCCCACAACCCAGCATGGCCCACAAGCCAGGCCTTGTCCTGACCAGGGATTGAACCGGTGACCTTTTGTTTTGCCAGATGACTCCCAGCCAACCGAGCCACACCAGTCAGAGAGCAAATGATTTTTAAAAACAACACAAAATTCTCACGATAGTGTTTTATTTCAGTATTCTGTCTTAGTAAAGTCGTTTCACACACATAAACTGCGAAGAGAAGTCCTTACCCTCTGCATTCCAGAGATTTTTGTCGTCTTTAATGTTTTTTAAATTAAATTTTATTAATTTTTTTTTCTGTATTAAATACACAGAACGTTTTGTAATAACTTGTTTTCAGACAGCTAAACTGAGTCACAGTGAGCAGTGAGACGGAGAAGTTACTCTGAGCGAGAGAATTCTTCTAGTATTCAAAGAACAACCGGTGTGCTCAGCCTCTGGGTTTTGGCTTGAGTGTTTTTTAGAATAATGCTCGTTTTCAAGGCGGGGGAGGGGGCTGGCCAGTCTCAGTGTCTGGTTATTACAAGGCAGAAATAGGAAAAACTACTTGTTGAAAACAGATACCAAAAACGATCTCTATTAGAGCTTCAAGCAGCACACTTGGGCAGCGGGGGCTGAAGGTGTCACGGGGTCTCGTGAAACCCCCGGGGCCCACGCGGCGCCCGTGGAGGGGCCCCCGGGAGAGCCGTGCCGTGCCGTGCGTCTCATTGGTCTGTCTGTCCTACACGCAGCCCAGAGAACAGGCTACTTGCCTATTTTGGTAAACTACATTGTGGCTTTTAACAATTTTTGTTCCAGAAATACCTTCGTAGACTAGAAAACTAGATTTTGCCCTCGGAAATGACAGAAACAAGAGGGGAATGTTGCTCATGTCCGCATTCCGGTGAAGAGCTTCCACCTTCACCCCCCTAATCTGGGATTTCAGAGATGTTAGTCTTCACTTTGTCCTGACGTAGATAAGCTCTGAGGGGCCAGTGCTTCACCCTGACCTCCACGTGGCCAGTAACCCCCCCGTCGGCCTCTGTCCCCGCAGCCAGTGCACGCGAGCGCATCCAGCGGCTACGGCAGCCTGGGGAGCAGCGGGTCCCAGGAGCAGCACGTCAGCGTGGCCTCCTCCAGCGAGTCCAGCGGGCCCTGCGGGGAGGACGCCCCGAAGGAGCCGGTGAGTGGGCAGGCGCTCGCCCTCCCCCCACCCCCGTCTCGTTACCTGGGGCTTGGCGCCGGCTCTGCAGCCCGGCACGCGGCCTCTCAGTCATGCCCCTGGCCTGAAGACCCTCCCTGGTGGCCGAGGTCCTCACCTGTCTGGTTTGGGAAACTGGAAAGAAAATACCGTCTTTGGAAAGGAAGTGATATTTGGGTTGATAGTGTGCTAAGTATTAGCACGTTGTAAAGAGATTTATTTATTTTTCATTGAATTTATTGGGTCCACACTGGTTAATAAAATTATGCAGGTTTCAGGTGTACAATTCCATAACACATCATCTGTGCACTGTATTCTGTTTTCATCACCCCAAGTCTCCTTCTGTCATCATTTGTACCCCCTTTTACCCTCCTCTGCCCCCCCCACGCCCTCTCCCTCTGGTGGTCTCCATGCTGGTATCCGTGTGTATGAGGGTCTGCGGTGTGTGTGTGTTTGTTTGCGGCTTGCTCCCTTCCCCGCCCCCCAGCCCCGCGTCCCCGCCCCGACGGCTGCTGGTCCGGGAGCAGATGCACTCCCTCAGCTGTGCCCGCACCATGCAGGGCGGGAGGGCCCTGAGTGCAGGTCAATGCCTGCTTTTCGCCGTCCGGTGTTCAGAGAGCCAGAAGTTGAGTGTATTTTGTTATGTACCTTTTAGTGTTCATTTTTACAATATTTGAAACATGTTTTCTTCTTTCCCCTAAGTTGACTTTGCAGCAGGTCTACGCCAGTGTAAACAAAATTAAAAATCTGGGTCAGCAGCTGTACATCGAGTCAAGGACAAAACCACCCAACAAGCAAGCACTGCGGACGCGCCCAGGACAGCCTGGCGGTGAGTCGGCAGGGCCCCGGGGCCCCTCGCGCGCCCCGCACCCTTCCGCACAGACGTGGGGTGTGAGCAGGTGAGCGTGAGGCTGTGAGGCCGTGCTGCCCTTGCGGGGTCACCTGCCGGGGTAGTCACAGTGACGGCAACGACGGCAGCAGCAAGGGCCGTGCTCACGACTCAGGGCACTAGAGCGTGGCTGCCTCTCCTGGCTGGGGAGGCTCAGCGGGTCGAGCACTGGCCTGCGAATCAAAGTGCTGCTGGTTCGATTCCCAGTCAGGGCACACGCCTGGGTTGTGGGCCGGGTCCCTAGCTGGGGACAACTGATTGATGTTTTTCCCACACTCTGATGTTTCTGTCCCTCTCTTTCTCCTTCCCTTCGCCCCTCTAAAAATTAAATTAAAGCTAGAGAAAACATAATTGCAGTACACTTCCCCTGAAGAACTGACATGTCTGAAGCCAGCGTGTCCCTAGGCCCCTCATGAACTATCTGTAAGCCACACGCCCACTTGGAAACACATTCCAGGTGGCAAAGTGGGGTGAAGTACTAACCCTTCCTGTCATTTCGGACAAACAGGGAACACGTACGACCTAAGATGAATGAAAAACTTGGCCTTTTTCTTTATGTACATGTTCTTTTTTTAAATACGACTTCAGCAGCACTGCATAGGAATTGGGTCAGTCGCAGTAAATGACATCCTTTCGAGAATCTAACCCGCTTGCATGACGGGGCAGAGGAGAGTTCAGCAAGGGAGACGTCCCACTTTATTAACTTGTGATTTAGCCGACTTCCCCTTCATTTTCCTCCCTGAGTGTGAGGGTGAATTTGGGGGTCGTTAACAGGTTCGGGCACCTGAGCGTGATGCGTGGTCTCTCCTGTTGTCCGTCCACATGGTAGCGGGGAAGTTTCTCTGCGTCGGCCGTGACCGCTGCCGCGCGTCGTGACCAGGTGTGACGCCCGCAGCAGAAGGGCCAGGCCCGCTCCTGGGGGCTCCCCGCGGCCGGCCGCGTGCCCTTTGGACGTAGCGAACCCGCACTGAACTGTGCTCCTCCCACCCCGGCGGGGGCCTAGCGTTCTGTGTTCCTTCCGTGGCGTGAGGGCGCCGGGCAGAAATAACTGCTTTCTCTGTCCCTTGAAAGTATTGGGTTCCCTCCCTCTCCAAGAGTTCATCTTAAATGTCTCTCTTGCTGTGTATCGTTATCCCAGGCCTTGGGATGAGAAAATTCTTTGGGCAGATTTAAAATCGAAATTTTCAAAGTGTTTTCTTTATCGCCTGGTCCAGTCAATGCTGTGTGCTCCGCCTCGGCCCAGGGCCCTGCGTCAGGGTCACAATGGTACGTCCTGACCTCTGTGTGTTCTCAGAGTAGAGATCCGTTGTCCCCTCCCGCTTTATTCAGGTTCTTAACCATCTGCCCTTGGGCGTCACAGAAAGTGCCGCCGGGCAGCAGGCCGACACGGGCTGCACTGGGCACTTCGGTGGCAACACCCAGGACGCGCACCGTGCCCGGTGCCCCCTCATGGGGCCAGGCCGGCCCCACCGTGCAGTAGCTTTATTCCTGGATAATTCTCGTCTCAAGTATTTGTTTCACTCCTTTTTTAAAAAATAATCATGGATATCTTTTTTTATCAGTGCATTCAGAACTGAGCTCATTTTTAATAGCTGCGTGGTACTTTATGGGATGAAAGTGTTTATTCTGCCCTGGCTGGCGTAGCTCAGTGGATTGAGCGCGGGCTGGGAACCAAAGTGTCCCAGGTTCGATTCCCAACCAGGGTACATGCCTGGGTTGCAGGCCATAACCCCCAGCAACCGCACATTGATGTTTCTCTCTCTCTCTCTTTCTCCTTCCCTTCCCTCTCTAAAAAATAAATAAATAAAATCTTTAAAAAAAGAAAGTATTTATTCTGAAGCACCATGACTTCACTTTGCTGAATAAGTACGTGTTCTTAAGAATAACATGTTTTTAGCCCTGGCTGGTGTGGCTCTGTGGATTGAGCGCCAGCCTGCAGACCGAAAGGTCGCTGGCTTGATCCCTGTCAGGGCACGTGCCTGGGCCGCCAGCCAGGTCCCTGGTTGGGGCTGCGAGAGAGGCAGCCGATCAGTGTCTCTCGCACACTGATGTTTCCCTCCCTCCCTTCCTTCCCTCCTTCCCCGCTCTCTAAAAATAAGTAAGAATAAAAACTTTTTTAAAAAAGAACGGCGATTGTAATTGCACATACTTCCTTTGTGTTCCAGGTGCGCAGAAGGCCTCTCCCTCCTCGCAGACGCTGAAGGACAACGGCACGAACGCGGAGCCCTGTGAGGGTTTGGGGAGGGGGCGGCACAGCCCGTCCTACCAGCAGATCAACTGCATCGACAGTGTCATCAGGTAGGAAGCACGCGTGTCGGTAACATGTTCGTTCTTCCAAAAGCGTAACATTGTGTCTGTGAAGCCTTCATGTAACTTTTTATAGCTGTTGTCTTGATTTTTCACTATGAATCCATAGATATTTATGGACTGCCTGCTTACTACATAGAGTTTATAATATACTCAGCATTTTGGGGGCTGCAAAAAACTAGAAGATACATTCCTTTTCTGAAGGAGCTACTGGATAGTTGAGAAGACAAGACCCGCGCTTTTCAAATTCTAACGTTGCCAGGTCAGTTCACGCCCACAGTACGAGCGAGGCAGCCACCCAGCGGTGCAGGCTGGGGCGGCGGGGAAGATGCCGTCAGGGAGGAGGTGCACGCTCAGCAGCACCCTTTTCCTCTCTCCTTCAATTCTCAACTTCCTGGACATCCTTGACTGTGAGAAAGCGCCTCTGCACGGCACAGCGGGCCTCCCGGGAGACCCGGCCCCGTGCACCTGCACCTGGGCGGGCGGGCGGGCGGGCGCGCAGCAGTGGCAGCAGTTCCGGCGGCAGCAGGTCCGGCAGGGGCCCCACACGGCCTTCCTGGCAGAGCAGATGGAGAGTGAGCGCGGTGGGCTGGGTCAGCCCAGCCCGGCGTCCTGCAGTTGGAGGGACCCGTTGCCCTCTGAGGAGAGGCCACAGCGAGGGAAAGGAAGAGGACACAGGCAGGCAGAGACAGCAGGAGGTGTCCGCCCGGGATTCTGGCAGAGGGTTGTCCGTGAACCTCTGGAGATGCCCACCCCCAGCCAGAGGACCCCTCTCTCAGGCCACAGGCCCACCTAACGCCCCAGCGCTGAGCACACCGGTCTCCCGTTCTGCTCTGCACTTGGTTTTTCCTTCTGGCAGCTGTTCTCAGGGGGTGTGCCCCCGGCCTTAGCAGCGGTGAGACCCACCCCAGGCTTCTTACCGTAGCACCACTTCCTGGAAAAAGGAGGAGGAGGCTCGTCATTAGCAGCCTGCTCCGCGGTTAGAAACAAAGTGGACAAGCCCTCGCCCAAAGTAGAAAGGGGGTTGCTGCTTCCAGGGCCGCGAGAGAGGCACGTTACCTCAAACACCAGGCAACAGCACGGCACGGCGGGTCGCAGAAAATAGCAATTTTCCAACAACCGTTTGCAAAGACGTGGCATATGGCTGCCTCACTGGTGACAGTGCACACTGGCTGTGGGAAGAAATGCAGCAAGCTGCAAGGAAACTCAGAAGGGTGACACAACAATCTCGGGAATGAAGCTAATGAACAGAAGAGTACTTTACCAAAAAGACTGAAATTCTAAAAAAGTACCAAATTCTGGAACCAAAGAACTCAATACGTGAGATGAAGAATGCATCAGAGCCCTGACTGGTGTGGCTCAGTGGATTGAGTGCCGGCCTGTGGACCAAGGGGTCGCTGGTTCGATTCCTGTCAGGACACATGCCTGGGTTGTGGCCAGGCCCCTGGTTGGGGGCGTGCAAGAAGCAGCTGATCCATGTGTCTCTTGCACGTTAATGTTTCTCTCCCTCTCTTTCTCCAGTCCTTCCCCTGTCTCTGAAAATAAGTAAAATCTTTAAACAAAAAGAATGCAGTTGAAATACAACATCTGACCAACAGGTCAGATGCAACAATTAACGTGGTGGAAGATAGAAATGTAGAAATGATCACGGTTGAAGAAGAGAAAAAACCAACATTTTTGAAAAGTGAACGAACCCTACAAGAACGCTCAGATACCATTCACAAGGCCAACATGAGGATAACGGGCGCTCCAGAAAGAGAGCGTTCAGTTCGGCGCTGCGTTGGTGCCAGAACCAGGTGAGGGCACCACAGGAAGAGAGCACTAGGTCCACAGTCCTGGTGGATGCGGGTACAGAAGCTGTCAGCAAAACGTTAGCAAATTAAACAGCACATTGAAAGGGTTATGCCCCATGAGCAAGTGGAATTTATCCCTGGAATGCAAGGGTTCATCCCCAGAATGTAGGAAAAGCATTTGGTAAAATATAACATCCTTTTATGATGTGAAAAAATAAAACCTTTACAGATTGCATGTAGAAGGAGCACGTCTTGACGCAGTAAAGGCCACAAACAGCAGACGCGCAGCTAGCACTATCCTCAGTGGAGGAAAAATGTTTTCTCCAAGATCAGTAACGAGGGTGCCCACTCTCACCACTCCTATTCAGTATAACACTAAAAGTCCAAAAATAAAAGGCATCCACACTGCAAAGGAAGAAGTAAAACTGTCACTGTTTGCTACGGTCTGATCTTACATCCGGGAGGCCCCAAGGAGCCCGTCAGAGAACAGGGGAGCTTCCTGGCGGCGGCGGTGCAGCGGCAGGTGCAGCGGCGGGTGCAGAGGCAGCCGAGCAGTCGGCCGCGTCCCGTGCACCGACGGCGAAGCCCCTGGAGGGAAATGACGACCGTCACCTCATTCACAGCAGCATCGAACCGTAACACACACACGGATGGATTTAACCAAGGAGGTGAAAGATCTGTGCAGTGGGAACTACAAGACTTTGCTGAAAGAAATTGAAGAAGACACCAGCAAATGTAGACATCCCGCGTCCATGGGTACGAAGAACTAACATTGTTAAAATGGCCAAGTGTGGCCCAAGCTACCTACAGGTTCAGTGCGGCCCCCATCAAAACACCAAAGGCATTCTTCCCAGGAGTGGGAGAAACAGCCCTAAAATTTGTGTGGAGTCACAAAAGACTCTGAGGCTATCCTGAGGGAAAAAAAGACAAGTCCGGGGGGCCACACGTCCAGATTTCAAGCAACACTACGAAGCTGCAGCAGTAAAGACAGTGTGCGCACAGACCTGCACATCGGTGCCCTGTGCAGATGCCGATACGGACGCGCCTGTAATGTGTTCAACTGGTATTTGACGGGGGGGCCAAGAACGCCCAGTAGGAAAAGGGTAGTTTCTTCAACATGCCATGCTGGGAAAACTGGAGAAACGCATGCAAGACCATGAAGTTCGACCCCATCCAATACCACTCAGAAAAATGAACTCGAAGTAGATCAAAAACTAAAACATAAGACCTGACACCATAAAACTCCTGGAACAAAGCATGGGGAAGAAGCTGGCTGAGGCCGTTCTTGGATTTCTAATGTGCCAGCAGCACAGACAACAACAGCAGTCCCCAAAGTGGAACTCCACCCAACGCAAAAGCTTTTTGCGCAGCAAAAGAACAAGATTTAAAAACAACCTACAGAATGGGGATTTTTGCAAACCCTATAGCAGGTAGGGGGTTAATATCCAAAAAATACAGAGGAATCAGTCAACAACAGCAACAACAAAAATCTGATTTTTAAATGGGTAGAACTGAACAGACATTTTTTCCAAAGAAGACATCAAAATGGCCGATCAGCACACGAAATGATGTTCGACATCTCTCATCTTCATGGAAATGCTGATCAGAACCACAATAACGAGCTATCACCTCACACCTTTTCAGAGTGGGTATATCGGCAGCAAGATGAGACAGTAGGTGCTGGTGAGGATGTGAGAAGGGGACCCTTACACAGTGTGGGTGGGAATGTAAGTTAGTCCAGCCACTGTGGAAATCAGTGTGGAGGCTCATCCAAGACCAAAAAGGAATCTACCGTACACTTCAGAAGCTCGACCTCGGGGTTGGACCCAGAGGAAACGGAAGCGGGGTTTTGATGAGACACGTGTGCTCCCGTGTGTAGCACAGCGGTATTCGTGATAGCCAGGCCGTGGGGACACCCCAGACACTCATCAACAGGTGGATTTTAAAAAGTGCGGTCTGCACACAGTGGAGTATTAGCCACGAGGAAGGAAGACATCGCCCACTTGGCACGGTGTGGCTGGACTTCACGGTGTGCTAATAAGCCAGACAAGTCAAACAGAGTCTTGTTCTTAGGGTAGCACATATGTGGAATCTAAAAAAGTTAAGTGTGTTTAAAAAAAAAAAAAAAACAGTAAAATGAGGGTCACCAGGGGTTGGGCATGGGGGTAAGTGTGATGGTGTTTAAGGGAAGGAACTGAGAACGAGTGGCGAAGAAGCCGCAGAGATGTGATGCACAGTAGAACGAGTACACACGGTGACACACTGCCTTGTGTGAGGGGGTCCGTCTCTGCGTCTGCAGTCGTGGTACCGTGTATCCGTGTGTCAGCGTGCTGCACACCTTAAACCGACACAGTGTTACATGTCAGAGGTATTCCTTTTTTTTTTAATAGTTTATTTTTTTGAGAAGGAAAAGAGGGAGAAAGAGAGAGAGAATCATCAATGTGCGGTTGCTGGGGGTCATGGCCTGCAACCCAGGCATGTGCCGTGACTGGGAATCGAACCTGCGACACTGTGGTTCACAGCCCGTGCTCAATCCACTGAGCTATGCCATCCAGGGCTCCTTTTTTTTTTTTTTTTTTTAAGAGGAAGTACAGTCTATCCCAAACCAAAGTGGCGTTAAGAAAAACAGACAGGTTGATGACAAAGTCAGGGCCAGGTGAGACTGCCTGACCGCAGTGCGTTGTCGCAGGTACCTGAGGAGCTACAACATCCCGGCCCTGAAGAGGAAGTGCATATCCTGCACGAACACCACGTCGTCCTCGGAGGAAGACAGACAGCAGCACAGGGCAGACGACGCCCAGGCTTTGCAAGGTAGCAGGCGTGCCTCTCGTCGCGAGAGGAGGAGAATTAGGACAGAGCCCCCCATTTCTCTCGGTTTCCCTCTCATTCTGTGGCATTAATTCTTGCACTGTAGTTCGGCCGATCCCAGTTCCGAGCCCTCGTTCTGGTCCGTAGGTTGTCATTGGTCAGTTGCCACTGCCTGCATCTTTCAGACGCGTTTTAGCAAGGGAGTTACTCTCTTCACTGTGTGTGGTTCTGTCCCCAGCCGTTTCCCAGCTCCCGGCCGCAGCTCCGCCGGAAGCACCTGCTCATGGACGGCCCGCCGACGCCGAGGGGCGCGCCCCAGGGAGCCTGCCCGCCGCGGCGCTGAGCCTGGGCTCCGGCATCAGCCAGTGCAGCTACAGCAGCACCATGGTCCACGTGCCCCCGCCGGAGCCAGGTACCGCACCGCCCGTGGGCCTCACACAGCCTGCACGCTGGACGCGCCGCTGTGGGGAGATGAAAGTCGTTCAGACCATCGGCTGAGCAGTGACTTCCACATTACAAACACTTTCTCTCTAATTCAGTTGGAGTACTTTGGGAGGCGTGTTGTTATGTTGGTTGCATATACACACATATTTTAGACTCTGTTTCTTAGTTATGTCATTTGTCAGTCAAATCAGCTGACACATGGGAAGCACTCGGAACCCTGCCCGCAGCGGCGAGCCCTCGGCCAGTGTCGCCGCAGCCCATGCGGGCAGGCCGCCGGACGGCTGACCCTGAGAGAGGGCGTCCGCTTCGCACTTCGTGGTTGGGCCCAGATGTGCCGTGTGTGTCTGTGTGTTTCTGCAGACACACACACACACACACACACACACACACACACACACACACACAGATTTTTGTGTTGGACCACTCTGTGCATTTAACAATATAATGACATGGTAAATAACTCAGACACTTCCTTTTTATTCCTCTTTACCGCCTCCTATTCTTTTGACTTATTACCCATCACAATTTGGTGGGTGAGGAAAAACACGGACAGATGCGTTACATCAGGTTCTCAGATTAGCTCTGCTTCACCTTTGCGTTCCACGGTTTGTCCGTCAGCATGTGCTGGGCTGTCACCCTGTCCCTCTCCCTGTCCGTGGTCCTCGCAGAAGCCGCCCTTCTGTGGCCCGCACAGCGCCCCCTTGAGGGGGAGTGCAGCGCTGACGGGCTGCAGGCTGGTGGGCAGAGAGGCCAGGGACAAGCCGCTGTGAGATCGGGTGGTGTTGCTGATGAGCCAGAGGGAGCCTGTTGAGTTTTGAACCACATGAATATATTACAGATTAAGAAATAAATTCAACGATAAAAAGGAACATTTTGAAAAGTTTAGGGAGATAGGAAAATATTTACAATAAAAGCAAGATTTAAATGGATACATGAATTCAGGAACTACAGTTCTATAAAATGAATAGACAGGTGCACAAAGAATATAAAGATAGGTGGGAAAGTTACCTAGAACGTGTGCGCTAGGTTGAGGAAGTGTTTTGTTGTAATAACTTCATAAAACTTACTGAAGGGTTGCTAAGTTGGTAAAACTGAAGAAGTGCAAACAGTCGTTAGCAACTGCAGTTAAATCTTTCTTCTTCCGCCCCAGCAGAATCGACCCCAGCCGAGGAAGCCGGCGCCGCCTGTGAGCCCGGGGCGCCCCCCACACCGGCGCCCCCGCTGACCGCAGAAGACTTCAGGCGCGTGGGGCTCACGAAGGCTGTCCTGTCGGCCCACACGCAGAAGGAGGAGCAGAACTACGTGGACAGGTTCCGGGAGAAGATCCTGTCGTCCCCCTACAGCTCCTATCTCCAGCAGGAAAGCAGAGGCAAGGCTAAAGATTCCTACGTTCAAGGTAATTACGTCTTTGAACTGCATCCCGTTCCTGCCTGTGGCCGTCAGGTTTATAAGTCGCCTGTCAGTGCCAGGAGGTGGGGGCTGTGCAACTGATGAGGAACGGACGGAGAGATGCTGGCATCAGTTTTTTATTTTATTTTATTTTGTTTTATTTTAAAGATTTTGTTTGTTTATTTTTAGGCAGGGGGAAGGGAAGGAGAAAGAAGGGGACAGCAGTGTCCATATGCGGTTGCCTCTCACACGCCCCCTGCTGGGGGCCTGGCCCGCAACCCAGGCCTGTGCCCTGACTGGGGATTGAACCGGCGACCCTTTGGTCTGCAGGCCAGCACTCAATCCACTGAGCCTCACCGGCCAGGGCGTCGATTTATTTTTAGGGAGTTTGTTGGTCTCCCCGGAGCTGCTCGCAGTCCCTGAGCAGACAGTTGGTGGTGTAATCTCCCGGTCACCCCCACCCCTGCCCTCCCAAGGCAGCCTCCCTCCTCCATGGTGGTTAGGCCTCCACCGTGTGCCTCCGCTCTGTCCCCCCAGGAGACCCAGCCTCCAGGCAGGCCCGGCCGGCCGGCTGCAAGAAGGGCAAGCACAGGCGTAAGAAGCTGCGAGAGCCGCTCGACGGCCAGTGCTCTAAGGACGCCTGCTGTGCCCCCGTCAGGGCGGACGCCCAGAACCCGCAGCCCTGGTGCTCGGCCCCCGCCTCTGCCCTCCACACGCCTGGCCTGTCGCTCCCGGCTGCGGTGGCAGCCCCCGGCCAGGCCCCGTACCTCATCCCGGCATTCCCCCTGCCCGCCGTGACCTCACTGGGAAGAGAGCACGCAGCCTCCGTGACGGCGCTGGACTCTCTGCCCAGGCTGCCGTTCCCAGCTGTCCCGTTGCCTTACGTGACCCTTTTCCTGCCTGACCCCGTGGCCTGTCATCTGCTGGCACCAGCCTTCTCTCCGTGTCCACTCCCGGGAGCGGCGGGCCCTTCTGAACCCCCACCTTCGGTGTCGGCGGCGGCGCCACACGCAGCAGCACCACCTCCGGTCGCTGACCCGAGGGCCGGGCAGCCCTGGGACAGCCAGAGCGACGAGCCCCCGTTTCCCAGCTCCAGGGGCAGCTCGCCGCTGCAGCTGGACCTGCTGCAGGAGGACCCGCCCGGGTCCTGCGCGTCTGCGGAGCAGGTGAGGGGGCGTGGTGCCCAGAGCGGAGGGGGAGGGGCGTGCTGTCGGCCCGCGACTGCGGAAACCACGGAAATCGAGGAGGTTCTCACGCTGGGCTCTGCGCAGGCCTGCGAGCAGGACAGTCCCCACGCCAGCCGCCGTGGCCCCACGGGAACGGCCCCAGGCCCTCCCAGCTCCGGTCTGAGGTCCAGGAGGAGAGAGCGGCCGGGTCGGTTTCTCAGATGCTGCTGTGTGTGGTTCTCCCAGAGCGCGCCCCCGTTTTCTGTGTGGTCTGAGTTTCATCCTCCTCCCAACTTTGACATCCACGCATCGCGCTTACCGCGTTCATTGTCTGTAAAATGCGTTTCCTTACCTGCGACTGAGGGCGTGGCCTGGTGAGGCAGGAGTGAGCCGTAGCGACAGGACAGGAATCCAGCCGTCTCCCTTTCTGGGGCCCGGCTGCGGGGCCGCGGTTGTGCGGAGGGGCAGGAGACGGCGGTTTGTCAGTGCTCGTCGGTGAGGGAGGCAGGTTGTAGTTCCACGTTTGTACGTGTCGTTTCCAAAAACGGGCAATTGTTTTGGTCAGCTTTTGTTGTTTTTTTTTTTTAATTGCTCAAGTATAGTTTTCTGCCTTTTACTCCCATCCCAGTCCACACCCCTGCCCCGGTCCTCCCCACCTCCCTCCCACTTCTACCCCCTGGTCAGTTTTTTTTAACTTTTCATCCTATTACCTAAAAAGGCATTCTCTGGTTTCCTGGTTACATTTTGGAACAGGATCCAAGACGAGTGTGAACACTTACCCAGAGTTACTCTCAGTCTTCCCTTCGGGGTATAATTGCCCTTCTTTTTTTTTTTAAACACATCCAAATGAAGAAAATATGTGTAATTCCGAAAGCCTGCCATTAGTGCGCTTGCCAGAAACCAGAGGCCGGGCAGCGTGTCCCAGGGAGCAGATCCTGGGCCGCGGAGGAGACGTGGGTTCAGATCCCAGCCCTGCCACTTGGCAGCGGACGGGTCAGCGTAGGCAGGTTGTGGAACCTGTCTTTGCCTCTGTTTCCCTGCTTGAAAAAGGGAAAGACTAACACTTCACAGCTTGTTCTGAGGATTAAACGCACTAGTCTTTGTGGAGGGCATCCCCCACCCCCCAGCAGTGTGAGTTCCGGGGCATAGGACCTCACAACCTGGTTTGCGGTTGTGTTCCTAGGGGGGGACACTGCTTAGAACACACGGATCGTTCGGTGCATCCGTTCCGAACGACCGAGCATCGGTGCGCACTGCTGTGGGGCCTGCAGCACGCAGTGAGTGCCCATGAAAACAGGGTCCTGAACTCCGTGTGCGGAGGAACTTGGGCCACATTCTTGGGGACAGGCTGACACTGTCGAGCACCTCAGTTTTACAGGCATTCTGTGTGTGAAGTGCAAGCTCTGTCTGTTACTCTGTAACTTGGTACCATTTTTTCTCGTGTTCTTTCTTTCTGGCAGTGCGTCACAGACCACGGTGGCAGGGGGAGCCACCCTTTTACCGCGGACGCCCTGCCCCTTCCCCGGGAGTCCGGACCCGGCTCTGCGGCGTCAGGTAGGGGTCCGAACGACACCGTCCTCAGGCCCTGCTGCCCGGGGTCGCCGTGAGGATGGCCTGCCTCGTCTCCACACCGATGGTTTCCCTTTTCCTCCTTGTTTTCTCACGAGCTTTATTGGGTTTGTTTGTTTATTACAGCGAGAGGCACCACATTCAGGCGTGTAAAACAAGATCTCTGAGAAACGAATGTGCTAGGGCCCCCACCACGGCAGTCGCTAGGTGGGGGGGCGCCTCCCTCCCCGGGGCGCTCTCCCGGGACCGTGGGGTCGGCCCCTGCCCTGGCTCTCCTCCCGGGACGGGGGTGTGGGTGTTTCTGCGGCGCACGGCATGCAGTCCCCCAGCACCCGGCCTTCTGTGTCGGGACCCTCAGGGCCCACAGTGCCGCTGAGCTCCGCCCTGACTGCCCGTCGGGGCCTGCTCCTTTCCCCGCCGAGCACAGGGACACCGTGTGGCTGGCCGCCCACCGGGTGGTGCACATCGGGTCTCCAGTGTGGCCTCTCAGTGCTGCGATGAACATGTTAGTCTGAGTCGTTTTGTGGACACGGGTTTTCTGTTCTCTGGGGCGAATGCCCCAGGAGGAAGTGGCTGGGTCGTGTGTACGGCTAACTTAACAAGACGCTGCCAGCCGTTTCCAACGCGGCCAGACCGTTCTGGTTCTGCATGCCTGTCAGCAGCGAGGGAGCGCTCCCGCTGCGGCACGCCCGACGCCGGGGACGCCCGTGGTCGTCTAAGCTCACCCATTCCCTCGGGGCGTGTGGTGACACCCCACGGTTTCCCCTTGCATCTCCCTGGTGACCAGCGGCATTGAGTGTCTCACGGCGTCCTTCTTGTCGTCGTGTGCGTTCTGGTCTTTCGCCCGTTTAGGGGAGTTAGTTTCCTCCTGGGTGGTAAGAGTTCGGTACGTATCCTGGACGTAAGTCCTCTGTCAAGTATTTGTTTTTGCAAAAATTCTCTCCCTGTGTGTGGCTTGCCTTTTCATTATCTTTTATTTTTAGTCTCATTTTAAAGACCAAAGTGTTTTTTAGTGTTCATGAAACCTAGCGGGTCAGTTTTTCTCCTGTGTGCCCCTCTGAGAAGCCTCCGTCTTCCCGGACGTCACCGGGATGGCCTCCGCCTGGGACGTTGCACAGCGCTGGCCGGCCGTCAGGGTTAGGGCTGGGGTCCGTTCTCGGTGACTTCTGCAGGCGGTGCGCAGTGGGGGGTAACCAGCCGGTTGCTCCTGCCCCCTCCGAGTCACCACGGCCCCGCTCCGTTCACCCTCACGGCCAGCGGCAGGGCAACCCCCACTCTTCCGACACAGCTTTCAGACAAGTCTCCAACGCCGGTGGCTCCAGTTCTCCAGCTTTATTCTTCTGTTTTGGCCTCGTTTTGAAGATCAAAGTGTTTTTTATGTTAATGAAACTTTGAAAATTTTAGGTCTTTTGTCCGTATAAATTGTAGAATCAGGTTCTTGGTTTCTACAAAACAAACAAAAAAGACCCCCTGCTGGACTCGATGAGCGTTGTGCTGAGTCTGCCGGCTGGCGGTTTCGGGGGAATCACCGCCCTGCGGGTGTGGAGTCTGATCCTCCTGGCGATGCGTTTCTGATTCACGTGGGTCTTTCGTTTTTGTCGGCAGCGTTTGCAGTTTCCTGTGTGCAGGCCTCACACACACACGTTTTACTGGAGGTGCCCCTGAGAGTGTCGTGTGTTTGATGCGATCCTGAATGACAGAGACCTGTAGCAGGAGTGTTCCAGGCTTTCTGGTGCCCCTTCTGGGGACGGGGGATTTCCCGTAGAATGGGTCCCGTGTGCCGTCCTCGTGACGGTGGCTTTGTGGGTGTGGGTGACCCAGAGCCGAATGGCGAGGGCTCCACCCGGGTCTGCAGGTGGACGCGTGGACGGGCCAGTGGGAAAGGGGAGCTGAGGCACTGGCGATTTGGGGGGGGGCGGGAAGCCGAGATGGAGCCGTTCTGGGGGTGCTGTGAGAGGGCGGAGCTCAGGGGGCCGAGGAAGCAGCCTGGGGCCGATCCAGGAACCGCAGGTGGAGGCTGCCCGGCTGACGGCCGCGCTGGGAGGTGACGAGGGTCAGGTCGCGGCTGTGGTCCCTGAGGAACGGGCCAGCCTGGCACGCCAGTCCCCGACGGGCCTTTCCTGATTCATCTCGGTGGTGGCTCTTGACAGGGGCCAGCGAGAGCAGCGTGTGCCTCGGGAGCAGTGACCGTTCCTCCGACGTCACCCGGGAGGGGCAGCAGTCCCAGGACGTGCGGGCAGACGCAGCGTTCCCCTGCTCAGGGGACGAGTCCCTCTGGAGGATGATCAAGGGGACCCCCGAGGGCGTCCTCATGACGTACCAGCTGCCTGAGAGGTAGGGGGGCCTTCAGAGACCCACTTGGGTGGGGGCTTCCAGTGGTCTCTTAGATGTCTCTTAACACAAAGTGAGTTTTGAATGTTCTCGTACATGCTCTGGGGGAACTGTACTTTCGGATTCACTCACTTGAAGTCCAACGACGAGTGACTTCTCAGGGCAGTGGCCAGGGCGGGGGCGCCGCACGCACGTGGGTGCAGGAGGCGCGAGGACGCGGAGGAGGACGGCGCCTTCCCAGGCGGCACCTCGGGGCGGGCTCCTCCTCCTGGGCTCCGGGTCTCCTTCCCCCCGGGGGGCGGGGGGTGCTGCAGGGGAGAGCCCGCGGCCCCCTGCACGCTCCGGGCGGTGCTCTCCGCAGACAGCTCCGGCTGCACCAGCGGCACGGGGAGACGACGCGGCTGCTTCTGACGTGTGTGCTGACGGGGTGCAGAGCACGTCCCAGACCAAGAAGAACGGCCATCCGTCCGTAGGGGGACCTTGTTCGGGACTGTGTGTCCGTCTGGTTTCAGGGTCGCAGAGGTCGTGCTGAGAGAAGACCTGGAGAAGCTGGAGGGCATGAGGCAGCGGCAGCCGCAGTTCTCCCCCGGACAGAGGGAGGAGCTGGCCCGGGTGCACTCCTGGATCCGGAGCCAGACCCTCCCTCAGGAGATGGACACCCAGGTGAGCATGCTGCGCTAGCTGGCACCGGTCGGGCCCCTGGGGCCGGGCAGGGCCCTGGGCCCTGAACATGCACGGCGTGGCCCCACTGAAAAGTTCAGTCCGCACAGCCCCTGCCGTGCCGGGTGCTGCCTCCCCGGCTTCCCCGGTGAACACGAAGCGAGGAGCGGAGATGCTAGAGACTTTGCGTGAGGTCGCACAGGTCGCCGGCTCTCAGTGCCGGTCTTTCGGACTACAGGCGTGTTTTGGCCCCGCCTCTGGGAGTATCCGGGGCCGCAAGGGGCAAAGACACCTGCTCTGAGACGAGACGGGCCGGGGCGGGGGTGGTGCAGGAGGTTCGCATCTCAGGTCCGCATGCGTGACTGAAGAGAGTTCAAACTCGGACGAACACTTCACACCAGGGTAGCATCCGCACGGAGCGGGGGTTCCCCAGGGGCCGGGCGGGCCTCCCGCCCCTGAGAGGGCTTCACAGGGAGCCCAGGTGCAAGCAGCCCGTCCAGGGAGGGTCCCCTTTGCTGGCGGGCCCGGGTCGGTCTGCGGTGATGGCTGTGACAGTGATGGGAGGGGATGAGTGAAGTTAAAAGAAGCAGACAGAAAGGCAGGCATCCAAAAAAGGCGTGTGAGACCCGTGGGCTAAACAGGGCACGGGAATGCATGCGTGCCTGTCGCTTGAGGATGGCTGGACACGGTCTCTCCGGAGCGCAGGAGCTGGGCTGGTCGCTCCGCGTCTCTGTTTTAAACACTGTCTTTCTGGTGTTTGAGTAGGGGGGTACAGGAAGAAGGAACCCCAAACAACGTAAAGCAAGAGCTTTTAAGAAGGTGCCGTTGTTTGCCTTTAATAACACGGGACGGGCCGTAATGGAGGTTCTCAGACCGGAGTCGGTGGGGGACTAGGGCGTGGTTGGTTTGGCCAGCGTTTTACTGACTCTGAACCTTTGTGGGTGGCGTCGCCTTGAGTAACCTGCCTGCTTTCGTTCTCTCTCGGAGGGCTGTGTCACCTGCAAAAGCGGAGATTTGGTCGCTGGTGCTGTAGGACCCCGTGGGGAGGACCCAGCAGAAGACAGCAGTTGAGTGGCCGTGGGGGGGCCGGCGGTGCCGCCTCCGCGGGACCTGCAGGCGCGGGGCCTCTCCGCGCCCCCCCGTCCGCCCGCCCGCGCTCGGCTCACAAACAGCCGGGCCTCACCGTCGACTGTTAAGGTCTTTCCCTCCTGACTTTTTCATAGACGCCCTTTTTCCGAAGCAGACTTTGTACATAGTCTTTTCTTTTTCCCTGTTCCTGATGTATTAAAGCTGTCAGTAGGCTTTTTTCCTAGTTTAGCCGTCTTCTAAAGAGATTGGATGGACTTGAAGAAGGTACGTGTACAGCAAAACCTTGTTTCACCTGCCACCCAAAATGCACTCTCATGAGAAAAAGAGCCGAAAAGAGCCCCAGCCAGCCCTCAGCCCCCGATCGTGCTCCGCTGTCACATAAGTCACCTCCCTGTCGGGGAAGGTGAGGGCGTCCGTCCCGCCTGGGGCCACACGCTGCTCCTCACGGCCCCGTGAATCTGTGCGGCGTCTGCGCGGGCCGCCCGCCCTCCGTCGTCGGCCCCAGACGCCCCGGTTTCCTCACAGCACGCACGCCACTCGGCGTCACCCGCGTTAGAGCGTGCAGCCCGCTGGTGCCGGGGCCCCGCTCCGAGGGGGCAGCGCGGCCTCTGTCTCGCAGAGAGAGGCCTTTCCCCTGGGCGCTCCACCTTCCGCGGGAACCTGGAGTCTCGTCCTAAAAATCGGTCCACTGACAACGAACTTACCCCCTGGGGAGTCGAAGTTAGCTTTTGCATGTGTCATCTTAAAGCAAAAGAGCTTCTAATTTAACCAGCGACATTTCCCTTTTTAATGTGTGTGTTTTTAAAATGATTATAAAAAGTTTGGTAAAAATTAATACTGGTTTTTTATGTGTCTGTTTAAATGCGTTTAAACCAAAATTAATAGTTAACTGTTTCTTTTCAACCAATGTACACCGAGAAGGTCTCCACCCTGCCCGCGGCCTGACTGGCACCGCCTTGGTTTGCCCTTAGGCCGGTAAGTGTCCGGCGGGGCCGCACAGTGAGAAGGGGTCCGCGGGGGCCCGGCCATCCAGGGCCGGCGGGGGTAGGCGCGGAACCCCCCAGACCCGAGCTCTCTGCATGGCCGTCCTTGTGACTGGTGAGGGGTGGCCGGGTCGTTCCCCGGCCCGTTAGGCCCTGCGCTCTGCAGAAGGTGGCGCGTCCTGCTCGGACTTGGGGTGGCGTGTGCGGGCTGCGCCCACGGGGCTCAGAAAGAGGAAACGGAAGGAAATAGTGGTCACGGTAAACTCTTATCTTCACCAGCTAACTTACTTTTCTGTTCTGTTGTTGTGTTTCACTTTGTTTTAGGAAAACACTTCCTCCTCCTCTCAAGATTTATAGCTTTTTATAAAGACGCGCCCTGAGAGTGACTCGGAGAAGCGACCTTGCTGTCCGCGGTGACCTCTGGGGCTGCTGCTCAGTGTAGCTCAGACTCGCGCGTGAGATAGTCGTTCCCTGGGAGGCAGTCCCGCCTGCAGGTGTCACCCCTTTTTCAGATGCTGCCTGTGACATTTCTTGGGACTTTTTTAATATTAAACAAATACTGCTATTTTACAAATAGAGAACTCATATTCTACTCCACCTTGATTGTTCAGTGATTTCTGAAGCCCTCCTTGTGTTGTTTTATGTGCTAATTTTTTTATTTTTTCTCATGGGGGGGAAAGAATCAAATTTTTAAAAATTAATCATCCTGGATATTGTCTGTCGATAGAACCACGGTGACCTTCCGTAGTGATAAAATTCTGGATTTGCACAAATCAGAAAGGACACGTAGCTGCCAGGGGTCACTCTGCATTTGTGTGTGTGTGTGTGTGTCTGTGAGAGAGAAACGTATGTCCTGTCACAGTGTATGCTCTCTTCCATTCTTTCTGGGTGTGTGTGTGATCTACATGTGCTCACTCCTTTGCCTTAGCACACGTTCTGTGGCGTGTACGCCACCCCAGGCTTCGTCGGAAGCCGGTGCTCGCTGTAGGCAGAGTCCTCAGACCAGTGTCGTCCTCGGGCTGGGGCAGGTGGACAGCGCTGTGTGAAGAGGCTGGACCTCGACGTCCCCCTGCGCCCCCCTGCCTGCTGACGGCGGGGAGGGGGCCCAGCGCCGCCCCCCACGGGGGCTGCGCCCCGCCGTCCCCTCGGTTGTTCGGGTTCATTTACTTCTGTGTTCACGACCGTAGAGATTGGTAATAACAACGTGTACCGTAGGCTTCAATGTTTACATAAATGTTGCCCAAAAGGCTGTATTTTCCTGGATAAGAGGTCAGGATTTGTGAAAAACAGAACACTGTGTGAATGGAATCGTTTCTGCGATTGGGTGAAATTTCATTACGATTCACCAGGTAAACTTAATCAAATGAAGTTTGTGTTTCAACTGAACATACAATTAGCTGTGTGAATCCACTTGTTTTCAATGGTTGTTAATATTTTAATTACCTATCTTTTTAAGTAAAAACAATAAATAAACCATGTACATGTGAGACCCGAGACATTCTCTCGCACTGTGTCGACAAACCTCTGCCAAGGCCGTGTATCTGGTGTCACTCGGGAGTCCAGCGGCGAGGGGCTGGGCGGCGCGCGGGCTGAGCAGCACTCCGCATGGGCGTCACCGGTGTGTGAGCGCCTGCGTGGGCCACGCGGCGTTTCCAGAATCCTCCCCTCAGCGCTGAAGAGTTGAATGGGTCCTGAACGTACGTGCATATTTTTAATACTAATATTAATCCTGAATTTAGGAAAATCGGTTATCAAAATTATTCTTCAAGATTCCGTAGTGAACCTGTGTCACACAATGTCTGTGTCACTGGTAGCAACAAAATCTCAAAATACGAAACAAGATCCCAAGACCAACAGGAATTTTTAAGTAAAATTCAGTAAGATTAAGTAAAAACCCCTTTCAAATCATCTGCGCCTTTCGGTAACAAAACGACAACCATGCCGAGAAGAAAAGGACAGCCAGGGTCCGTGGCATGTGCACCCCTCGCAGGAGCTGTCCCGGTGCTTCCCGGGAGCTGTCTTGTGCGATGCTCGTGGCCCCGTGGGAAGCTGGGCCCTGACCCCCATGTTACGGAGGGGGATGCCCGGCCGACGGAGTCGGAGAACCTGGCCCGGGGCTCTCCGGCTGAGTGCGCTGGGAGCAGGAACCGGGACCAAGCCATCGGGCTCCAGGGCCCTGTCCCTCGGAAAAGCAGCCCCGAGTCGTAGAACGAGGGAGCGGTTTCGGGGTTGTGTGCACGGAACAGGAACGCCACCCTCGGCTCTCTCCGGCGTCACGAATGCGAAGCGGTCCCGCGGCTCCAAGGCTCCACTTCGCCAGTGCGAGACGCCACGTCATGGGAGCGTGTCCCCAGGGTGCCACGTCCGTCTTCTGAGTTTCCAGTATCCCTGTCTGCAGGTTGGTTCTCGGTATCTCCAAGAAGGACAGCGAAGATTTATCAAACCTGTGCTCTGTCAGAGACTTCTGATGTTTGTCGACAAGGTCAGTGCCAATTTGCGTGGCGGCAGTTTGGTGCAGACCCGACACGGGACCCCTCCAGAGTGGCGACGCTGTGAGTGCGAAGTGTGGTGGGGAGGCTCACATTTCAGTCCGGCCCTGTGCCGGAAGCTCCCTGCTCATGCTGTGCGTTCCGTACATATGGGGGGAGGGCAGAAGTAGGTTCACAGTGTTCCAGTGGAGAAAGACCAGTCACCAGTGAGGACATGACATAAGCCAGTACAGTAACTAATAATAATACAAGAATAAACTGTGTTCCGTGCACTCACCACTGCACGCCTGCCTTTGCCCAGCCTGTATATAAGCTACACTCGCAGAGATGGATGGACAGGATGTGCAGGAGTGCACGCACACACCAGGCCGTTTCTCCCATTGCCTGTTCTTAAATCCCACCTCCGCTGCCTGCTGTCTGCAAGGAACCGGTGGTGCAGGTGCTTTCCTGGCAGACGTGAACTGACCCGCAAGCTCACAGGAGCCGAGATTGAACAAGGTCCCATGTCAGGAGGCTCAAGTTCCCACGCATTCAGCACTGGGGTTAGCCGAGGGAGGGGGTCGGAGCCCGGGAAGCAGCCTCGTCAGACACTGAGGGGTAGTCAGCCTGTCCCCCACCCTCCGGCATCCTTCGCTGGAGCGGTTTTTCCAAGTTACTGATTTTTTTTTTTTGGGTAATAACGTACATTGTCATTTTTAAGGGCTGAGATAATGTAGCTTATTTAAATGATTTGGCCCTGTCTGGTGTGGCCCAGTGGGTTGAGGGCCAGCCAGCAAAGCAAAGGGTCGCTGGTTTGACTCTCAGTCTAGGGCACACGCCTGGGTTGCAGGCTGGGTCAGCTCCCCAGAAGGGGACCCGTGAGATGCAGCCACACAGTGATGTTTGTCTCCCTCTTTCTCCATCCCTTCCCCTCTCTAAAAATAAAATCTTTTTAAATCAGTTTAAAAGTAAATAAATGATGTACTGTTTAACTCTTTTAGCTAAATTTTACTCATGACTTTTCCTTAGCATTTGCTTCGGTTATTTACTTTTAAGTTTTCAGAGAATTCTTTAAAAATAAATTGATGCGAGGAAGAATTACATGTTCTAGGATATGTTTATAAGTAAAAACAACCACTAATGATATTTGCAAAACATAGAGGATTTATTTTCCAAATAATAACGAGCCGGGTGTAGTTTGCCAAGCGTTTTCTTCTAGACCGTGTGCAAGCTTTTCCGTCTTTAGTTTTCTAAGACGGTGGGTTTTGAGCCGACTCGTGGATGTTCGCTTTACTTCAGACGCAGTATTTCCAGAAGCATTCAGAGGGGGGCCCGCGCTGGCTGTGCTTCCTGCTTCTGGCCGGAAGGTGGTTCAGGAGCACGTTGGGCCCCTGTCCGGAGAACGCCTGAAACCGAAGCCAGACAGACAACAACAGATGGATTCTCCGCGGAGGCAGAGTCCTACAGGGAAAGGAACATCACTCCCTCCCTCCCGTTCTCTGGGGTCTGATCGCACCAGGAGCCCCAGGTGTGGACTCTCGGGGCGCCCACCCCGCCCGGTGGTCCGTCCCGTCTGTTCAGCCCTGGGATCGCCCCGAATTTTCCTAGATGCTCACCAACCTACTTCTATTTAAATAACCTGCCAGTGACAAGTTCTGGACATTTGTTATCTTCTATATCAAATAGGTCTTTCATTTGTCTTGAAGTTAACTTCCTGGAACCTTGGTTTGGGGTTTTGTTGGGGTTTTTTTTTTTAATCCTAGCATTTTATGAGCAAATCTGATTAATCACCCGTATGGTTTTAGCGTCTTTAACCACGATCCCTCTATTGAGAAGACGACAAATGTCTGAATGATAAGTGCTGATGAGTCACAGGCAGAAGCCACACCACCCCGACTGGGTGCCCCCCCCACCTCGGGTCACGTGCTCCAGCTGCAGCACACGGTGCTTCCGGAGCGTATTCTTACAAGGGTATTATGGGTACTACACCGAAAAACATGCTTCTCATCAAAACGTTTGGGAAATGTTGGGTTTGAAGTTAAATAAGCTAATGTCATGACTTCCCAGGCTTCCATGCGCTCGTGGGCTCGGAGCATGGCCAGGACAGGAGAGGCTGGAACGGCGCTCGGCCGCGGCCCAGCTCGTGGGACTGGCGTACCCAGAGAACCCCCAAGTTAGAGTTCGGGGTGGGGTGGGGTGGGGGTGGGGGGGATGAGCAAGAACAGGTTTCTCTTGTAGCATTCCGAGTCCCCCACTGGTTGTGCCTCACTTCTAACCATTCGATAGCATCCACCATTCCCCGCGGCAACCCTCTCGCTTCTCCCAAAACAACTTCCTGCTCTGCTCGCTCCTGCGCATGCTCCGCCTCCAGGTTCCGAGCCCGCCCTTGACCTTGGCTGTTACCCGGCCGCGCTTCTCAACCCGCGGTTTGAAACGGTCCCGGGCCCCCTGGTAAGCTGCCGGTTGGGGTTCCTGGGGCGCTGGGGGTGGGTCTGAGGCTCAGCCTCTCCCCGGAGCAGCGGGTCCCCGACCACGTGCGGAGGCGGCGGGTGAGGACGGCAAGCGGCGACAAACTTAAGGGCAGGGACTTTATCTTTTATAATAATTTATCCAAAACAAGCACTGGATCAGTTTCTCTCCCCATCACATTGTATGGGAGTTAGAATTTGGAAAAATTCACTGCTTTGAAATAACCACGGCCGGCCAGTTATTTTGAGGCGCGGCTTCTACCAGGATCTCTGGTCTAATCCGGGAACAGGGTCTCGGAAGTGAAGGCGCAGCATGTCCCCTCTTTCACCCAACTCACGGCCACTCACCTTGCTCGTCGTCCCTCTCGGGTTAGAGACGTCGGTGCCGGGATCTGGAAAACAGTATTTGGAGACCATTCATCATCAGATCTATGGTTTCCACTTCATGCTTGGTTTATTGAAAACACACCAACTAGAATGTCACTACATTGTGTCCGGTTTCTGGTCTTCCTTCCTCCTGTCGCACTGCGGTGGCGTTTGCCTGGAGGCTGGTAAGCGGCAGCCTTGTCCTTAACCAACAGCGCTCACAAAGGGCGCTGCGTTTTCCTCAACCACGTACCAGCTCAGTCGTCGATCAAAAATATTTTATAACAAACTGAACTCCTCTCTCTTCAACTGTCTATTGAAAGACTCTGTGTTTCCCCCCCCCAGAATCTCCCAGGTATTTGCATCCCTGCTTAGAGGAGTACAGCCTGGGGGGGCTGGGGGAAATGCGGGCAGACCTTGTTTTATCGGGCTGTGCTTTGTTGCACTTGACCGACCTTGCATTTTTTTTTACAAGTCGGAGGTTTGTGGCCACCCTGCGTTAAGCAAGTCTAGCGATTGGCATTACTTCTCCCGCGGCATTGGCTCACTTCAGGTCTTTGGGTCCCATTTCGGTCATTCTCCCAATATTCCAAAGTTTTCTGTTATCGTTGTATTGGTCAGTGACCTCTGATGTCACTGTTGTCATTGGGAAAGCCACAAGCCCCACCCACATATGTTGGTGACTTAAATGTGTCTGTGTTTTGACGGCTCCACCAACCGGCCCTCGTTTCCCACCCACCCCCCTTCTCGGACCTCCTCGTTCCCCGAGACACAGCAGTATTGAATTAGGCCAGTTAACAGCTCTATAGTGGCCTCTGAGAATTCAGCTGAAAAGAAGTCATGGGTCTCCTACTTTAAACCAAAAGCTAGAAATGATGCAGCTTAGTGAGGCAGGCATGTTAAAAGCTGAGAGAGGCCAAAAGATAAACCTCTTGCACCAAAGTCAGCCAAGTTGTGAATGCAAAGGGAAGGTTCTTGAAGAAACTTAATAGTGATAACCCCAGTTAACACATGAATGACAAGAAAGCAAAACAGCTGTATTGCCGATTTGGAGAGTTTTAGTAGTCTGGATAGAAGATCACACCAGCCACAGCATTCCCTTAAGTCCCAGCCTCGTCCAGAGCAAGCTCCTGACTCTCTTCGATGCCGTGATGGCTGTCAGAGGTGAGGAAGCTGCCGAAGAAAAGCCTGAAGCTGGCTGAGGCTGGTTCGTGAGGTTTAAGGAGAGATGCTTTCTCCATAACCTCCAAGTGCAAGGTGAAGCAGCAACAAGTCATCCAGAACTTTAGCTAAGATGGTTCATGAAGGTGGTGGCTACACTAAACAGCAGGTGTTCGATGCAGAAGAAACAGCCTTGTATTGGAAGAAGACGCCATCTAAGACTCTCACAGCCAGAGAGGAAAAGGCAATGCCAGACTCCAGAGGACGGGCTGACTCACTTGTTAGGGGCTAATTCACTTGAAGTTAAAGCTCGTGCTCATTTACCATCCAAAAATCCTAGGGCTGTTAGGAGTGATGCCCCATCTCCTCTGCCTGTGCTTTGTAAAGGGGAGACAAAGACTGGATGACTGCACGTCTGTTCCGAACCGCTACGTGGTTCACGGAATAGTTGAAGCCCACGATGGAGGCTGGCTGCTCAGAAAAAGATTCCTTCTAGAATATGACTGCTCACCGACGGCGCACCTGGTCACCCGAGAGCTCTGATGGCGACGGACAGAGATTTGTGTCTTTTTCCTGACTGCTGGCTCAACACCCGTGCTGCAGCCCGTGGCTCAAAGAGTCATTTCGACTCTCAGGTCTCATTATGTGAGAAATACATTTTGTAAGGCTCCACACCAAAGGCTCAGATGGGGGTCGGCACTTTTTAGCAATGAAATGTTTTTAAAGTAAGCTATCTACATTGTTTGTTTGCACAGTTAATAGAATACAGTATTGTGTAAACATAACTTTTAAAAAAATGTTATTTATTCATTTTTAGAGAGAGGAAGGAAGGGAGAAAAAGAGGGAGAGAAACATTAATGTGCGGTTGCCTCTCACACACCCCCTCCCGGGCACCCAGGCATGTACCCTAGACTTGGATTCGAACCTGCGACCCTTTGGTTCACAGACTGGCACTCGGTCCACTGAGCCACACCAGCCAGAGCCAAACATAACTTTTATATGCACTGGAAAAGCAAAAATTTCATTTTCTTTTGTGACCTGTTTTATTGCAGCGTCTGCTTCATTGCAGCGTCTGGACCTGAAAACATGGTGTCTCGGAGGTTTGCCCGGAGCAAAAGCGGACACTTGGTCCACTACCTTGTACGTGGCTGCGCTGGACTTTTTACTTCCCTTTTCTCACTGACTTGTCACCGTAACCCTATGAGGTCGGTACCTTTATCGTTCTTATGTACCGATGAAGACACAGAAAGAAAAACCACCGTGTTTAAGATTTTAGTGCACAGGAAACCAGCATTTAAAACTGTGCTTATTAGAAACTGGCATAATATCCTCCTCACTCCCCCACCAAAATAAAAGTCCACACAGAAAAAGAAGTCCCTCAGGCGCCAAGTACGGCAGGATGCTGGCAAGCAGTGGCCGAGAAAAGAAGAAAGAAGATGGCAGCAGGAGGCCCTGTGCCCGGAGGAGAGAGTGTTGGGTAATTCACTTACTGTATTAGCTCATCTTTATGTGCCAGAGCAGGGCTGGCCTCGCCTGAGAGGAGAGAACAGAGAGGAAATCCAGGAGCCGTAAATCGGACAACCTCTACCCACCAGAACCCCTTACCTGCTTTCCCGAGGCCGTCCCCTGTCTCTGCCCCTAACGCCTCCAGCAGCCCCCGCAGAAGGGACGCTCCGTCCGCCTTGTCCAGGGCTGGTCTCACGCCTCCATCAGGTGCTGCGCAGGGTAGTGACGCGTGTTAGTGACACAGTTCACTCTTGAGTTAGTTCTTTCTGTTCCCTCTTGTCTTATGGGGGGTGGGGGATGGGCAGGGATACCGAGGACAAGGAGATCATACTAGAAAAACTTCGGATGCTCCGTCGGTGGTTTGCCGTTAGTGGTAGGTCACAGGAGAGGACAGTGGACCTGGAGGAATGGCCCTCATCAGACCCTGCGTCCTGCGTGACCTGCTGACCCGCCCGCTGCCTGACTCAGAGGGTTGCTCTGAGCCATCAGATCGTCTTAAAACGTCTCCACTTTTTAAAAGGGACCGTTCCTCAGCCTGTTCACCTGCTGCTGCCTCTTGCCTTTGGAGGCTTGGGGGGTAAGAGGGGAGAGGAAAGGAAAGGACTCGTTTTCTGAAAGATCACGCTCTTCCTGCGACGCAGGTGAGAAGGCATCGCCTCTCTCCGGCCTTCCAGAGCGAGGCGCAGTGGTTACCAGACGAGAGTCAGCTTGAACGCACTCTTTAAAGAGCTCGATAGTCGCATTTCCGGTGTGAAATTTGGTCAATGGGAGGCATGTGCGATGTTTGGTACGTAAAGGACGCATGGAAGATGCCGGGGAGGCCCCGGGAAGGTGCACGCACGGCGCACGGGAAGCGCGTGTAAGGGTGCACACTGGGCCCGGCGTCTCCCGTGGCCGGTGCTGCCAGCTGAGACCGGAGGTGCCCGGGCTCTTACGACCCCGCACGCTCACGGCCGGCGGGCCCTCGGCCCAGCCTGCGTCGGAGGGCGGCGCACGAGCCATTACAAGGGCGCCTGAGCACACGCACGGCGTTCCTGAAGAGTGTTAGTGAGTGTGCATCTAAGAAACGTGGCCACGTGTAAGTGTTTACTCCATGAAGGATCGCTTATGGAGAAACAGATAAATGAGAAAAAGAAATCCAGGCCAAAACTCGAAGGTAAGATGCCGCCTGCTTAGAATTTGGGTGAGATGCTATACTCATTTCATCTAGGTTTTTATCTATTTATTTTTATTTTTTAAAAGGAATTATGTCATCTCTTTCTGTTAAAATCACAATAATAATGACATGGAAATTTTCGAAGAGGACAGCAATAGCTGAATATTTATCCTCGGTTTCATCTTGTGTTTTCCCCTGGTCTGTTTTAAACAGGAGAGGGCCGGTCAAGTTCACGCACGCTTGGTCCGGCCCCCACCGTGACTGCGTGTCTGAGCTCGGGGGCTCCGGGAGTGGACGGCAGAGCAGCGAGGGCCGGCAGTGCTGCCAGCGATCAGACAGCTGCTGGGCAGGCAGCCTGGAGGCTGGCAGTGACAATCAGTGGCTTAGAAGAGCTTTTGTCCTCTTAAAGAAACATGTCCAAAAGTACCCAAAGTTAAAGGTCAAATCCAGTTAAAAGTGCCTATGGAACCTAATACCTAAGCATCAACTTTTTCGTTTCTTAAACTGAATTAAGAGGCCATAGCAAAATACGTGTGTGCTTGGCTGATGCATTCTTTAAAAATCCAACTCAGACGCCCTGGCTGGCGTAGCTCAGTGGATTGAGCGCGGACTGCGAACCAAAGTATCACAGGTTCGATTCCCCGTCAGGGCACATGCCTGGGTTGCAGGCCACGGCCCCCAGTAACCACACATTGATGTTTCTCTCTCTTTCTCCCTCCCTTCCCTCTCTGAAAATAAATAAATAAAATCTAAAAAAAAAAATTATTAAAAAAAATCCAACTCAGGCTTGAGCAGAACGCAAAAGGCACCAGAAGGAAAAGAGCAGCGAGCGCGGACACCTGGGACATCCCAGCCCCAGGTGTGAGCTCAGACACCTGGGACGTCCCTGCCCCAGCCGGCCGCTTGGGAACTTGGTGCTGTGCGGCTCTGTTCCGTACAACGCATGTCGGGTGATTACTTTTCAACTTAAAGTAACAGAGGATAAAAGTAAGATATTTTAAACCCACCATGGGAAATACCAACTCCTACATTCAAACAGTTCATTTAAGATAAAAACTAAAATAATGCTTTTCATTTAGTTCGGATTGTAACATCAAAAAAACGGACCAAAACCAAAAGTTGGAATCCTGGAAGTGACGCGAGATAAGCAGTTCTGCCACCCTCCTCCTCTTACATATTAGAGAGAAAAAAAACTGTCTCCATCCCCGAATCTGAAATGCGCCGTGAGCCCCCCGCCCTTAACTTTGCATAGCTGGGACTAGTCACGAGATGCCATTTAAGCAAGAATTCCCATTCCTCCCTCGAACATGGCATTGAAGACCCCAGCTTGAAGACCCCAGTCTCTTTCACGACTAATGGAAGGGAAGACGATCCGTCTTACCTGGGAACGGCAGGGGCTCGTCCCTGGAGTCAGGAACCGGGAGGGAGGAGAGGGAGCGCAGGCACCCCATGAGGAGCAGGCAGCAGGAGGCCAGCCTGTACATGACTGACGGCCCAGAGCCTTCCCGCCTGGCTCCTGTCGTCCAGAACTTCCAAGCTGTGCCTCTCGGGCTCTGATCAGCGACCCTATATACTATCCTGTGACCTCACACCATCCCCTCCCAAAAAAAAATCAGATCGATTTATTGGCTGCGGAGGCCAAAAGGCAATCACTTTGCATTGATGTAATTTTTCAAGGTAACGACTCATAGACCATAAATTCACTGTCCTGTTGCCCAGTGTACGAAGGAGATATTACAGAGAGAGAACAGTTAGGTTTATAAATCTGGCGAGAGGGTGACCTAGGGCAATGAGTCACAAGGGAAAGGGAAGATTCGGGCCTAATTGAAGGGGCCGAGATGGAGGTGACTGTGCGAGTCCCAGCCCAAGTGACACGGAGCGTGTGTCACAGGACGTGCGGGGCTGCCCTTTCTTCTCTCTCGTGCGTGCAGAGTGAACCGCCGTGGTGGGCTCAGGGCTGCCGTGCCCGCAGAGCGACAGTGTGTGGATTAAAACTGACACCCGTTATTTAAAATAGTGACGCTACGGTGAGACGCACAGCAAGCACCCAGGGTTCGTGCGTGCTCGCGGCCTCAGGTACAACCACCAGCACCTGGGCCTTCAGAGCAGGGCCGGGACCCCCCTTGAAGCCGGGCAGTACTCTTCAGCCAGGACGAAGAGCAAGCCTGAAAGCCTTGCTGGGAGTTCTTCTAGAATTTTTCACTGCTCTGGGCCAGTGCCCAGCCTGATGGAAGCTGAGATCCGGGCAGCAGCCTCCTCCTGGAAGCCCTCCAGGCTGCCTTCTGCCGCAGCAGCCTCCACTCAGCACAGCACACAGACGCTCTCAGCACAGAAGTCAGATCCTATCAGTTCTCTGCTCAAAACCCGTACTGACCTGAACAGAAAAGTTAAAACTACAGAATTACCAGCAAAAAAAAAAAAACATGAACACACATACAACGTTTGGGTACACAAACACTTTTTAGGAGACCAAACATGTCAGGAAACACACACACACACACACACACACACACACACACAGATACATTGGATTTTATCAGAATTAAAAACACCTATTCTTTGAAAGACAATGTCAAGAAAATGAAAAGACCAGTCACTACTGTGAGAACTATTCATAAAACACACACCTAGCAAAAAGACCTCTCCAAGATATTTTTAAAAATAAACAAACTCAATAAGCCAAAAACCCAATTAAAAGAATGAGCAAAAGGTTCGAATAATTAATTCCCAAGAGAAGGTATACAAGTAGTGAATAAGAATGTTAAAAAAATACATCATTTCATCAGAGAAATGCAAATTGAGGGCACATTCAGATGCTAGTGCACACCCATCACACGGCTGCACTGCAAACCTGACAACAGTAAGTGTTGGCAGAGGTGTGGTGCATGGGCCTCTCACACAGAGGGCGGGACCTTACGCAGCACACGTCCTGCTCTGGAAAAGGGCTGGACACTTCTGTATACAGATAAACACACACTAACCCGTGGAGCCCAGAAATCCCTCTTTAGGTACACACCAAGTGAAATGCACACAGATGTCCCACACACACTTGTACACAGATCTTCATAACAGCTTTACTCACAATCGTGTGAACCGGCAGCACCCCTAACACCCATCAGCAGGCGAATAGCGGAGCGGCGCTGAATCGCTCCGTGGAGTTGTGCCTGGCCACGCAAAGGGACCACGGATAAACACAGACCTACCCGCTGGGCAAAGTACGCCAGGCCCAGAGGAGGGTGTAGGGCCTGCTTCCGTTTCCGTGAGATTCCGGGACAGGCGGGACGAATGCTGAGTGTCAGGAAGGGTCAGCGAGGGTTGGGGGGTTGACAGTAAGGAGACAAGGGAACTTTCTGGGGTAATGGCAATGCCCTCTGTCTTGGCGAAAACCCGACACGCTCTACACTGAACATGATGCATGTTACTGTGTGTACGTGATACCTGGATAAAGTTGACTGTGTTTTCATCTCCACTGACTCCTGATTTCAGGCTTTACTTCTTCCAACACTGCTCACCTTACAGCCCCTCCGCCCCCCCACCCCCCCCCCACCCCCCAGCTAGTCGGAACGGCTTTCTGGACACCGTGCCACAGGGCAGCTGGTCAAGGAAGGCGTTGCTTCGGACGGGGCGGGTGGGAGGCCTCTGGGAAGGGAGCCTTCGAGCAGAGACCCGGACGAAGTGGGGAGCGTATGTTCTGAGGACCCCGCAGAGAAAATCGAGACGGAATGGCCAGGGGAGCTGGAGGAGTGCGAACGGAGGCGTCCAAGCTGCCGGGTCGGAGCCCCCGTGGCCGACAGGTGGGGAACTGCCCAGCACGGACGCTGGGGTAGCAGCGTGGAGTTTCACACACACACCTGTCTGCGGGGATGGCAGGGGGTCGTCTTCCGACCCCCCCACTCAGCACACACCTCAGCTCCTAGTGTGTCAGCAGCCTGGTGGGGCATAAGCTGTGGACCGTGAGGACAGAAAGCGGCCCTCCAGAGCCCAAGGGCAGACGGCGGCCGACTGAAACCAGCTTATGAAAATAAAGCATGTCGGCCCTGGCCGGCGTAGCTCAGTGGATTGAGCGCGGGCTGCGAACCAAAGTGTCGCAGGTTCGATTCCCAGTCAAGGCACATGCCTGGGATGCAGGCCACGGCCCCAAGCAACCGCACATTGATGTTTCTCTCTCTCTCTCTTTCTCCCTCCCTTCCCTCTCTGGAAATAGATAAATAAAATCAAGAAAAGGAAGGAAGGAAGGAAAACGAAAGAAAGAAAGAAAGAAAGAAGAAAGAAAGAAAGAGAGAGAGAAAGAGAGAAAGAGAGAGAGAGAGAGAGAGAGAGAGAGAGAGAGAGAGAGAGAGAAAGAAAGAAAGAAAGAAAGAAAGAAAGAAGGAAAGAAAGAAAGAAAGAAAGAAAGAGAGAAAATAAAGCATGTCGGAAAGACACCAGACAGTTTCCAGAGCCCAAGACACCGTGCTGACCTCCGCCTTACGTGACCTGCCTCCCCACTGAGCCTGCCTCTGCCTCCCCTCCCTCCTCTCCTCCGTCCCTGCCTGCCTGTCTCTCTCTCCCAGGTGTCGTGCCTCACCACCTCTCTGGCCATATATGTCTCATGCTTTTCCTCTTGGCAAGATCTGGGTTTCCTTCTTCCCCTCCCCCCCATCTACTTGGCCAAACACATGCCCCACTGCCAACATGTAAGCGATCAGCTCAGACACATCACTTTCGCCTTAAATCCAATTTGCAAACTCCGAGGAGAGAGAGTCTCCATGGCCCAGCTCAGCAAGGCTTTTGCTGACCCCCGTGCAAAAGGGCAGCTCTCTGCGAAAGAGAGGGCTATGGTGGCCCCAACAGACACCCCAAATGGAGTATGTAATCCAGCAGGAGCCACAATATACCCAGCGAGCCTGCCTTCAAAACATCCCCTAAAGAAACAGCGCAACAGAAGCAAAGAATTACCGGAGGACACCGCCTGCAGCCTTATCCGTAGTGGCAAGGCGGGCTGCAAACCCAGATGCCCGCAGGAATCTGGAGGTGAGGATGTGAATGAGGAAGGTGGGCGTGGCGAATGACAGCAGGCAGGCAGACAGTGGTGACCCTGACTCTGACTGCCCTGCTGGAGTGTGAGAATTCGGAATTTTAAGGGTCATGCACGAATTCTGCTGGCAACGAATTCAAAGTAAAAACAGCAGCTACAACCAAGTTCTGTGTATTTCAGACAAGACGTGTCCACAAGCCATGATTCGACCAACAGGCACCCAACTGTTGGCCTAAAAGGCCCCCATCAGTGGATAAAGTTAGTAGCTTACGGAGCTCCTGTAACTGTAGTCACCGTGAGAGGGGTGGCTAAAGGTGGTGGTAGGGAACTTGGAACCCAGAATAACACTGCAGGTAGCTGGCACGGTATTAAAAAGGTGACTGGGCAAGAACTGGTATGTAGTGTTAGAAATTCAAAATAATCGTGTTAAGGTAGAGGAATTTTTTTCTTAAAATTCTATTTATACATGTACATGTGTGTCTCTGCGTGTCTCCCTGTGTGTGCACGTGTGTCTCTGTGTCTGTGTGTCTCCCTGTGACTGCATGTTTGTGTTATGTTTCTGTGTTTGTGTGTGTCTGCGTGTGAAACGCTCCTGAAGGAGAGTCCGCCGCAGGGGGCGGGGGTGGGGCGGGGCGGAGAACCACCGTCGGCGCCCTGCGGGGACGGTCCAGAGCGAGGCGGTGACACCAGACTTCTGTCTGTGCCCGCGGCTGCCTGCCAAGCTTTGTCACTCCCTGGTGACTCAGGGGCGCTCTGACAGTTATTAGTGATGATCTTACAGTGTGGCCTAATTAAATTACTACTGAAGGTGGAAGCTTCTAAGAAAATTAGCTTCTTCCCTGCCACAGCCCATCAATGACAGTGTCACCTTGTCCCAGAAATGTCCTGAGGGCGTCATCCTACCCTACCGGTCCCTGGGTCCTTGGTCCCCGTGTCAGAGAACCGGCTTTGTGCTGCTGTCAGAGCACATTGACTGGTGAGGGGATCCCTTTAATCAGTTGCAAATGACCTCCTTAAACCTAGAGGTGTGTTGGTGTCGTGAAGGAGCAAAGAGCTGACAGGACGTATTTGGGCGACTCGTGCCCACCAAGCACCAGCATGCATTGCGTAAGTATAAAGGGCACCACCTCTTCTTGGTCTTGCTTTGAAATTGATCTACGTTCACCCTCTCTACTGCCATCGGGTTTTAAAATTCTTAGCCAAAGATATCTTTATTGATTTCAGAGAGAGGAAGATGTGGGGGAAGAGAGAGAGAGAGGAGAGAGACGGAGAAACATCCATTACCTCTTGTATGCTCCCTGACTGGGGACTGAACCCTCAGCCTGTTGGTGGGCCGGACCACACTCCCACCAACGGAGCCACCGGCCGGGGCTCTGCAGCCGTCTCTACCCTCCCTTCACGGGGACATGAACTTGAATACACTATTTATACTGACTGTCCTCAGGCGCGAGGCTCCCCGAGGGGGAA